TGCTCTCTCTTTATCAATATGCATCAATATACACAAAATATTTATATTTTTCAAACAGCTTCCATATTTTTAAACTTTATTTTCTCTTTCTGTTAGATATGTACACGTACATGTTTAACGAGTATGCAAAAACAGTATATGATACTAAAGGATGACTGCACTTAACGCCGGGTTTTGGGTCTTTTTCGGTCGCTTCTGTTGCTTTTATATCATAATCTTATTTCATTTTTATATATTTATGAAAGAATTCTGTCAATTTCGAGCCGAATTTAAATATTAAAAAGATCTTAGACTGTGATACAATAAAATGATTCTATGTTTTCTGTCCTTACTCTTTCCAAATATAGAGAATTTACACTTACCTGCCCTTGATTAAACATTAGGTATGCATGAGAGGTGGAGCTAATATTGTAAGAATGGGTCTAAAGTTAGACTAGATAAATAACAATGACATGTATTAAAAAATACGAGATCACTCTTTCCCATTCCCTCTTTATTCTGTATGGCACAAGTACACTATTTTCAGAGGTTTCAAAAACGAAATTAACAATATGAGCGACGTCCATATAAGTAAAGAATCTTTTAAATCGATGCCTAACAATTTAACGTGTTCGAGCACTTTGTCCTAGTTAGCACAAAACATGCTACTTTACAAGTCATGTGACGGAATTTAGTATTCACAGAGTTACCTGAGGTAAGAAATCACGTGGTGAATTATAATATTCAACATGTCACAGCCCTTGGTTACAACAGAGAGAGCGAATGTAAGAAGAAGCAGTTTTTTCTCGTATAAACCATGAGCGCATGTTTGTCTATTAATCTCCTTTTGACACAACATTGTTAATGCAAATATACAACTATTGTTAAACGGAGAACAATAGACAAACATGCGCTGACTATGTATAAAGTCAGTGAAAAAGTGGGCGTCCTCATTATCGTACGGAGATTCAAGGAATTGTGATGACCCCCGCCTTAGAAAACAGCATCGTACTTCGTAAATACGTGCTTTTATTTAATGTAATTATATAAAGTTGTAGATTAGATGTTGACCATTCGTGCAATTAAAAGAAAAATGCTTGTTTTGAAAGTTTGTTTTGTCACAATTTTCTCATGTCCTTAAGTGCAGTCATCCTTTATATTAAAATCGACATCTCCTTTTATGGCATTTCGTTTAAAGTAAATCTTTTACAAAACCTTTCTTAAACACACTGTTGCCTACAAACAGGACCATCATGAATTGTATAAAAACAAGGTCTTGTTTGAAAAATATATGTCCATTGAAATACGCTGAAGCTCCACATTTCCTTGCTGAGTTTGGTCACATTTCGTTTTCTTCCATCTTTGCCATTTTATCCATATCAATCGTTGTAGCTTGATTTTAATTGGATGCAGATCTTGAATTTTCCCGAATTTTTTTCAATGTCCCTTAATGTTTTTATCAGTCTTAAGAAATTTAAATTCACTTTTCCGGAATTGTTCCGTGTTCTAAGTGTGGTTGGGGTTTCCATGTTTCAGTTTTCCATCATCGTTATCCGTGCTATGTATGGTTGGGGATCCACGTTTCACTTCGCTGACATTGTTCCGTGTGTTGTGCATGGTTGGGGATACATGTTATGTTCCTCAGTTTCATATGGACCTGCAGATGAAGAAAAATGAAATACATTTTCTTGCAATATGTTGAATTCAGAGCAAGTTAAATAGAGAAATTGTTTGAAAAAAATATTAGTTTACTAACAAATAGATATTTGTCTTCCGAAATGATAGATTTTGATTGTACCGGGTTTATGAAATCTGTCAAAAGCAGATTTGTCTGCTGAAACAGGGCGAATGCATTTGGCCATAGCTGAAAACACGTATAACAAATGGAAGACATTTAAATTAGTTTCGAATATGGTTTAAACGCTGCACAGTTTGAAATAGTGTTTGTAGTGTATCCCTTTAAATAGTTTTATACTTATCTATAAGGGAATTTCCCTTGGCCTATATGATATATATGTCCATGACCAAACTATTTATAGACTATATACCTAAATCAGAGTGATTCTATTTTTATCACAAAATAGTCATCCAGAAAATAAATTCTGTCAGTGGACTTCATTTTGTTTACGTGTGAGATAGGTTGAATCCGTGCTGCTATATTGCAACAGACTATTCTCCCCCGCCCCGCCCAGTATCGTTATTTCGTACATGTTTTTCTTCATTTGATGTTGCTTTTTAGGATCTTTTTCTTTTGTAGAATAATATGGACATTTGAATAAGAAGTCGAGCTAAACATTGCTTTGTATACTGCATGTCTACACTTGAATCTTCATTAAAGTCTGTTGCACTCGCGCATGCGAGCTCATCCTGTATAAAAGTGTTGTGAGTTTTATTTCATAATTAGAATATAATTGTTGACAAATACGACACCTCAGATGTTTATATCAGTAATAGATTGTGTTTAAGCTATTGATAAATATCACATGTGGATACTGGTACAAATCCAGCAGTAATTCAAAATCGTGTGACCTACATTATTTACGTTACTAATTTTAACTAGGAAATTCAGCTTGTTTCGATGTTGATGATGCTCTATTATTATATACCAAATCTTATCAGTTTTTTTCTGTCGTGATATTATAAAGTGCCTGTCCTGAAATGCATATGAATTAAGATAGTACAAGTATAGGTTATTCAACCTTTTAACGAGAACTGTGCATACATGTAGTTGCAACAAAGTAGAGATTTGGTCCCCAGCGTGTAAAGGTCTACCCTCTGATTCAAAAGCCATTTCTGTAAAATTTTGAAAGATATGCTGAAATTGTGTGCATTTAAATCATAAATTAGATTTCTTTTGGATAATCATAAGCATGTAAAATTACATGAGTGAGCATACGGATAATAAAACATTAATGAAATGGATGAGTAATCAAAGGTATTACAACCCAAACTCAGTGCATAACTCACATGAGTCAGAACATGGTTTACATGAGTCAGTACACGGCTCATATGACTCAGAACATGACTCATATGAGTCTGTGTATGGCTCATATGAGTCAGTATATGACTAATATGAGTCAGGTTATGGCTCATATGAGTCAGTATATGGTTCACATGAGTAAGAATATGATTCACATAAGTTAGTACTTGGTTCACATGAGTCAGTACATGGTTCACATGAGTCAAAACATGGTTCACATGAGTCAAAACACGGTTCACATGAGTGAGTCAGTGTATGGTTCACATGAATCAGTATATTGTTCACATAAGTCAATATACGGTTCATATGAGTCAGTATTTGGTTCACATGAGAAATTTAGATGTTATTTATGATTATATAACTTAAAAACAGTGATAAGTTGTGTTTGCAAACAAGGAAATTTAAGTCCATAAAATTTTCGAAATGCTAACATTTGTCATTAGCCTGCCTTGGTTTAAAAATTGATTGATCATCGTACTCAGAGAATGCTCTTGCGTATCGAATTAGTTTGAAGACATAAACATCATATGCAGGTAAAGTCGAATATCACTACATAAATAAGGAAAGCTTTCGATGGAAAAGCTGGAGCACAATTAGCGCCCATCAATATTTTAACAGATTGTAAGAAGATCTCCAAAGACTACATGAATGTTGTAAGTGAGGAACTCCAGCACCCTTTTAATATTAACCAGTGAGTCAGAGTACTGTGTTACTTGAGTGTCGATTCAAAATGATTTTTCAATAAAGTAAATTTGTAGATGACCAATCACAAGATCTGAAATATTCCGGGTTCCAATTTTATTAAAGAAGCAGTTGGCTATGATATATATCAAAAAGCCTAATCTTTACTACATCGTGAAGAATGGTTGAATAAAGTGTAGAAAAGCCATATGTTTTGATGTGACTGACTTTTGGAAAAAAAAATGTGATTTTAAAATCTTGTTAAATTTAAGAATCTATATTAATTTTGATTACCACCAATTCTAGAATATGCTGTACCACAGTGCGTCTAAGTTTCTCGATCCTTCATAACAATTAATATTGTGGGAAGTGTTCATAGGGGCTTGATAGAGCATTTGCTTGACCCTTCAATGTAAGCTCGTTTCTCTGTTTGATCAAAGAGAGACCACTCATACTCGTGCCAGTAATTCCTGAATCATTTTTTATCAGACAACGGGTTTCTGAAAAGGGGTGCGAGTAACCCTTCTGTAGAGAAAGATTTTTTTTTAATGGATACCATTTTGGTGAATTCTAGTGCATCTTCACATAATCAAATAAACAAAATAAAGCATTATTTTTAAGTGTTTTTACAGGGGTACGATCGCACCCAATGCATCCCCAGTTCCGACGGCTTTGAAGCGTATATGCCACTAAATGAATCAAAATATGTAGTAAATATTTCTTTAAGTCGGACTTCAATGGGGTTTTTTTTCGGTTGGGATGATTTATCTTCAGCGGTCTTCGTGATCTCATGGAATTCAAAGTTTTAAGTATCCATAATGTGGACAGATATTGATCAGTATTTTGACTTAAATACATTTAGCTAAAGGAAAGGCGTCTCGCTTTAATGGCATAAAGAGGTACCCGCATAACTTGTATGTTCGAATGCCAAGTGTTTCACGACACAATGAAATAGGTGAAGATAGCGAACAGTGTTCGATCTCAAAAAACTTACAAATAATACAGATCTGTGACCAGGGCATGAAACACGGATCCCTGAAAACTCCAGAGGTGGGATCAGGTGCTTACAAGGACTAAGCATCCCCTGTCGACCGATCACACGCGCGGTGAGCCCTATGTTACGATTAGGTAGACGGAGAAATCCAAATATCTTCTGACTTACAGTGGGCCACTTCCAAGGGTGACTCAGGTTACTTAAAAATTAGTATATGGGTTACAGCTGACGTAAAAAGTCACTGCCAATGATTTAGTGCATCTTAAAGAGATGGAGTTGGAAACTAGAAGAAACATATTTTACTGAGTGAAGCAAAAGAAACTGTGGAGTTTTTTTTTTTGTTTTGTTTAATAAGGTACTCATATATTGTAAAAACTGGCAACATTGCAACACAGTTACAAAACATTAACAAAATAAGATTTTTAAAATTATTTTGAAGTCCCACATTCTCCCTTTATGAGATTTCCTCTGTAGTATCATTCTCCTCTTCCATTTCTTCATTCTTCTGTGTATTGTTCTCAGTATTTTCTCTCTCTAAGTCCTTGGAACATATTTTACTCAATTTGATATTTTTGACATATTTAATTTCTCCATTCCAAGCCCTGAAGAGAGCTAAATTTTTGGCATTAAATATGTGTGGAACTTCAAAAGAGCCCTCGTCAATTTGCCTCCTCTCTCGTTCAGTGGTCACCTTTATGGCATTCTCTCGGGCACTGTGGGGATTCCCCTGTCTTTTTCCTACATTCCTCATAATATCTATCTGCTCCAATTCAGCATCAAAACGCTGAAGGTATTCATTAACAAGAGGTTGCATATCTGATCTTGTAAACACCTTTTTTTCTGGGTCTAGCCTTTCTTTGAACCAAAGTAATTTTTCTGCCAGAACCTCCAATTTAATGGATGATGCCTGCTTAGAAGTCCGTAACCTTTCGTCACGGTTGGCTTGCCGGGACAAAAATGCAGCTTTTCTACTGTTAGGATGAACCACTTTTTCAGCTTTGTCCTTTCCAAACTTAGTCTTGGGAGCTTTGGGCATTTCTGAAACACACAGAAAGGAAAATCTATAACAACGTTGTTCAGAATGTAAATTTTGTCTAACTCCTTAAGTTTCTAAACCAAGAAATCCCTAAAGACATTATAAATGGACTGCACTATATATTCAATTTCATAAAATAAGACTCAATGACTGTGGTCAGTCCTTGATTACCTTACAGTACATTAACAAAACAGAACTATACCAATGCTTATCATATACCAAAAATAATGGTACACAATGGTGGATCCAGGATTCCTTGAAGGGAGGGGGATTAGGCCAGGGGTCTGTGGGCCACCTTAAGGCAAAACCATGGTAGGGACCCCCTAAAAGGTCTCGGGTTTTAGGTCATTTTTAAGAACACGTGAGTTATATTAAGTATACTTTACATAAATTTTATCTAATAAGATAAAGTTGATTCATTCATCCTTACAAATTTTTTGGTCCAAAAAGGGGGGCTGCCCCCCCCCCCCCCCTTCAAACTGGTAATGGTCAATGTCAACAAACTACCTATTATACATATACTGCTTCCTGATATGTCTTTTCATGAAAATTGCATATGACAGCTATGAAATGTCTCTCATAATGGAGGTTAGTGTACCAAGACACCAGGTTTCACTTTATAGTCAAAGGTGAGACAACTCCATCAGTCTTACCTGAGAATGTAATCAGAATAGGCCATCCTCAATGTGTGAACTTACATTAAATATGACAGTCATTTGAATAGTTGGTCATCAACAACAGATTTTACTATATATATGTTGTAAGTTTAACAGCTTAACAAAATTGTTCATGCAGAAGGATAGATTTCATCAAGTCAGACCAATTTTGCCTCACAATTCACCCCCCAAAAAATGTTTTTTATTAAGTTGTACTTACTTTTGTCTGGGTAATTGCACTGCTTTCTAGCTCTTTGATTAGTTATTTATCTCTCTCTTTCTGTTCCTTTATTTTTTCCTGGTATATCTGTTCTAACTTTCTATTTTTTTCCTCGGTCTCCGTTTCACTTTTATTGGTGAAATACCTGTACCCTGAAATGCTGAGGTGTGAGGCTGGTACTCCAATTAAAAGGGTCAATAACAATGGATGTTTCCAGTTAATGTGCATATCAACCTGGAAAATACACAAAATAGATCTCTTACTAACAAGATTTAGAATAACATGTGCAAATAATGCTTATTTCACAGGTAGTAAACATTCTAAAACTTGCTTCTGAATACATTAGTTTTCTGAACAGAAAATGATAATATTCATGTCAAAAAACATCTATGTCTGAAGTAGATGTGTTTCAAGATGGATATTTTTTTCTTTACAAGAAATTTTTGGTTGATACAGAAATTTTTAGAGAAAAAAAAAGTTTAATACACTGTATATTTCAATGGTACCCTTGATACTTTGTGAGAAAATAAAAAAAAATATTAACACACAGAACTGTTTTTGGTGGGCAGTAATTATTAAAGAAGAAATAAGTCTGCTAAATCCATAACAGATAATGCAAATTATATATTGAAATTCTGAATACAGTAATATTCATCACACAGAGAAAAAGTAGACAGCATCCCCTCGAAATTTTCACAAATAATTCACCAAATATGTAAAAAATTTTCAATTTGAATTTTCAGGCCAAGAATATGGTTTGTCTCTCTACTTCTAATAGCCAATTGAGACATTTATGAATGACCAGTTGGAAAGGTATGGATAATATTCCATTTTATCTTGTATTCGCATAATCTTCTATTTTCACATGTGCACTTGAGAGTCATAGCCGACTTCACTGGTTATTTAAGCAACTTGAACACTTACAAAAATCTAACTAGTTCAAACTGGGAATCTCAGAATCTACAGTTCGAAGTAGCTGGATTATATTTGGCAATCTCAGTGTTTAAACAGTGCAACATGCAAATTAGCAACATGAAAATGTGACTTGGATCTTTCTGTAACCGTAGGGGCTTCCATTCCTTTCAGGTTGATTTGGTGAGATGAGCTTCCAAATTGAAATTTTATCTGGTTTTCTGTTGATTGAACATGTGCGATGACCAAGAACCACACCAGCAGTAAGGGAAGGTTGTGGGTTTACTGCATAAATAATCATATGAGAAAACATACCCTTAAAATTTAATATAATGTTCCTGAGAATTTGCAGCATATTATATGTTTTTATGCCTAATTATTTGTTGTGTTTAACTGATATATTCATGGTTTTTAATATTCAGAATATCATACAAAAGCAAGATATAATTTTAAAATTATATTTTTCACATGTTTTCATCTTCGCTAGCCAAGGGTTTCTGATACGCTACTCTCCTCATAAACCCTTGGCATACGGTGCTGACAAAAGACGTGATTGTTTTTGTCACGTGATCATGATTCTTACCAGGTACGGCACAGATTGCGTCATCGACAGAAATAAAAAGCGTATTAAAAAAAAATTTGTTTTTAAAGAATAATTAACAAGAAGGTATTGCGTTATGTTAATTTGTTATTTAAACATGTAAAAATGCAAATCTACATCTTCAGTATAGATTCTTAATCACATATTTTGCTCGTTGCTTTAGAAATTGAATGACACCATATTGCTATTCATAGAATGGCATGTTATCTTACGGATCATTGTTTACTTTCGTTTTACATTACCGATATTAAAGAGTCAAGATATATCCCGAACGCAAATATCGTCATTTACAAAAAGCAATTGCTGATTGGTCGAACGATGTCGATCAACTCCAATCACAACTTGAGAAAAAAATCCCAACTTTTTTTAACACCGTATGCCAAGGGCTTATGAGGAGAGTAGCGTATCAGAAGCCCTTGGCTAGCGAAGATGACATGTTTTATGAAGACTTTATATCATACTTTTTGTGATAAAAGTAACTAAAATTTATTTTATTTATATGTTTTGCACTCATTTGAATGACTAAGAGATCTTCATAACTTACAAAATAACATTAAATAAAAATTAATATAAAAAAGAATTGAAAAATAATGTGATAAATCTATTTATGTTATATTATTGAAATTCGATCGGGATCGGGATATCAAAAATATTTTACCGTCTAATTTTGTTTACGCTTTTCTACTATTTTCACGGGGAAACAGTCATATGATAACATTGTTATTAATTTTGTTAAAAGAATATGGTATATAAAGCGATTATCAGCTCAATTGTGCAAAACATTTACTTGAATTAACCAGTTCTCTAGGATTCTTTAGAGTTCTCTAGAGTTCTCATTTTAGTAGGACCCCGCAGACCTTTGGTATTGAACTGCCGATATCGAATATGTTGATATTAACCCCCACCTTAAACCTGGTGTCCAAATCATACAAAACAAATATTAATAGATTGGCTCATCTGAAGCTTTACTGTATGGAAATAACTTTACCTTTCAGTTACTATCAATTTCACGTGTTTGTCATGTCGGATATGAAGATTGGACTGTGAAATAGTAAATCGGATGGGAACGCAATACAAATTCCGGATAGAAAATCTGCGTTGACAGGATCTTTGTTGTTTAAAATTAAGAACATACGTCCGTCATTTTAAATGTAATATAGCTTGAAGTCAATATAAATTTCATCCAGAATAAATAAAAATAAATAAAGCTAAATGCCAAAAGGAAATGAAAATAATAATGATGTCAGATCTAGAAGAAATCAAACTTGGACTTGACTAGTATGTATATGCCGTCGAACTATATCCAGCTGATAGCATGAAAAGCTTCACTTGTTTTGTTTTGTTTTTTTAATTATATTTTTAAATTTGTAATATATTTAAAAATTTCTCTCAGTACAAATGATCTGTATTACACAGTAAATAAATACGTGTACTGGGGGTATTTAAATGTTGTGTGAAAATGAATACACAGATTCTTCACAAAGAGTAAACTTGTGATCGATATTTAAATTCCAAGGTTAGATCAAGTCGCTTACACACAAGACAAATTTCTCCCTTATCGAGGTAAGTCAATAAAGCCGTTATAACACTTTGTTTATTTTGAAGAAAAATGTACGTTCTGTTGGATAGTTTAACAAATTGAATCACAATGTGAAAAACGGGAGAAGAATATTACATGTCAAAATCAAATATATCTTTATTGACAAAATTCTTTCTGAAACTCAGTTTCAATGAATTCATAAATTCAAATTCAATCTTATTCAAGATGGCCGACTTTCATTCAAATAGTACAGTATTATATGAACGTGAAAATTCAAACAGCGTACATTGTCAACAATGTCAGCAACCGCATAAATACTGTCTAAAACGACCGAGAAGTTCTTGATGCCATATATACGGCTTATTTCTTAGTGAATATTATTAGACTGTGATGAAAGTACAATGAAGATCTGAAATACAAAGGAAAGGAACAGAGAGTGTTATATAATCATTTCTTTTACATCACAGACACATTTTGTCGCCATGATTTGGTTGGTGACTGTGAGCCTGCTGTTGACTGTCGGGGGTTGCTATGGTTACACTGGTTGTACTGACACCTCACTGCAGTACCAAGGTTACACCTACACAATAGACCCCACCACTCAACAGAAAGTCTGGTCTCACTGCGGCTTTCCCAATCCCAGCTTTGACTACGCCCTCTGTGGACTGGCCTTCACCTCAGGGGAACACTTTCTCTGTGACCCGGATGGACTTCTTACGTCACAAAGTGAGTATATCATAGAAAATCCTGTGGATGATTCATACACGTCAAATGTCCAAATAACATGCCTCAAACTAGACTAGAATGCAACGTTATTGTCGCCATCTATAACTTGGTTAGTGTATAGATCTATAAGAAGCTTTTTCTCCCCAGCTTACTAACAGCCTTTTTTTAATTGGCACTCATATAAAAAAAACCTAAAAAGTACATCAATAATTTCAAAATATGACTTTATCAAAGTATCTTATCTAAAGCATATGACATACTTTTGAATAAACTCTATTCCCCTTCAATATTTGCAGTTGATGCCATTGATTTGGCCTTACGAAACATTCAAGCGAATACTTCCACTCTGTGTACCAGTGCTGATGGAAGTTCAGAGAGTTTTACCGTGTCAATAGCCCTTATTAATCGAACACGCATCGCAGATCTGTCGTCTGCTAGTCTGTAAGTAATGTAAACCTTACTCGATTTATTGTATAATAAGTACATATGTTTTATTTTAATATTCAAATATACGTACCGATTTTCAAACAACTCAGTAAAATTATAAGTACATGTATATGTAAGCTTTGGGGTTTGTTTTTTGGTCAAGTACAAGGAACCGTGCCCGTTAACACCATCCAAACACCACCGAAATATCCTTCTTTTAATAACAAAACTATATGACATGATTTCAGTTGTATGTCATGTTGAAACTGATATTCTTAATCATATTTACAAACACAATGTATGTATTAGGTGTATTAACAATTGTGGAGAGCTCCAACCAGGAACAAACCTCACAGCCAGCTCTTTGTCGGATGGTCAGAAGACGGCAATTGCTGAAAACTTTGGTGACTATCTAAGGACAGGGTGGGGTTTCGGTTCCTGCGGAAATGACGTCGTAATTTTTTATGCACAGGATTTAAATAAGGTACATAAACGTTCTTAATTTCTGTTTTTGAATTTGTATTTATTCATACTGCAAGTATAAAAATGTTATGGTTAAACCATTGTTTACACAGGTTCATGTAGCGGTTGGATACAAAGCTACCGGTCTCGTAACCTCAGATGTCATTGATTACATCAAAACCACGTTTGTGTCATATAAAAGCAACGGACATTTAGCAGAAGGTCTTCTTGTTATCGCAGAGAAGCTGCGCACCACGCTGCGCGGTGTAACTCCCGCCCACGTGCTTCTGATTTTGAACATGATTGTGGTCGTTTTAACTGCTGTGTTCTTAGTGTTTTTTCTCCACCTCCGCTCTGTCGAATTCAATGTCTGGGGCCGAGAGGGACTTTGGAAGATTCCAGAGTATTTTTTCTACCTTATATCTGGGGTGTGGATGATAAATGGACTTTTATATGGTGTTATTTATGTATCCAACAAAGCACCATACTGGGCCACCTTCTTTTCTGGTATAATGGGACTGGCTTTTATTGTTTTGTATATATTTGAAGAACAAATATTTGACACGTATTCCAACAGTGGATCCTATACTCTTAACATTACATCATAGATGGTTATTGTGGACTTTTTTTTTATATAAGTCCATGCTCTTTGAAACATTTTGTTTATATAAAAAATCATTTAACCATTTTAACGTTTTGTCAGGCTCCATATAGAGAAAACGATATGTAAAGTGCACGAAGTTTTATTTATTAATATTATATTATCTAACTTTTTTTATTTGTAAAATTTTGATATACATGTACGTTTGTATACTTTCATATCATTCATACATGTATCCGACAGTGTCATTTTATGGCAAACTTGATAATATGAAAGTTCCGTCCATCTTTCTAGTTGTTTATTTCATTTTTACATCATTCTAATATAACATATCAATTAATGAATGAATTTCTGATCACATAATTATTTTATTACCTTTTTACATTGGATGCTGGTCATCCTCTCTATCCATGTTAGAGACTATAATTAGTTAATAAAAGACTACAATAAAATATCGTGCGTTTTTATAGATGCTGAAGGAAAGGGTGTGGCGGTTCACAAAATCACAGATATGATACCAAAGGTGTGTGTCTCTCGAGATCAGTTTTTATTTTCTACCAGAATTTCGCGAGAGCAAGGGTTATTCTTTGATGATGATTTATTTTAATATTGGCCATCAGGTGGCGTTTTCTTTGTGCAAAAAGAAATTTTAAAAACGATGGCTATATGTTTCTGATGTGTAAGTAAAAAGATTGTAAAAATTATATTTGCATTCATTTCATATTTACGAGTATAGAAAGGTAATTAATCAGTGATCGCTGTACACATTTTTTTAAACCTGTAAAAGGTGTATATTATAGAGGTACGTTTTTAATGTTATGCAGTGTAATGTGATATAATTGCGACAGTACATTTATCTATTTTTTAACTGCATGAAAGTCGACAAAATTAATAACAAGATAACGGCAAAGACATTTTTTCTGTGGATTCTTAAAGTATGAGAAGAATAGTCTCAAGACAACCAAAAGACATTGATTGCTAATTTTCTGCAATAGAAATGCACTATTATCTGTAAAATTAAATAGATGTAAATGGAATGCTGAAATCTCTTCTTCACAATTAATGGGACAAAACCATTTGCAGCATTTGTAGACTGCGTAACTCGGTAAAAAGCTGCTAGAGATGTACTAGAAAGGAAGATACATCACTTTTTCTGACAATTTATATGCGTCTTTAATAAAAGATTGGCAGATGCAGTATACAGGAGATGATGCAATCAACAGCAAAAGTAAACATATAACATAATCTTTTTAAAAGAATCGATTTTGAAAAAAAAATTGAAAAGAAACACCAGGACAAAAATCTTAAGAAGAATGATGATGATAGGGAAATATGATGATTATCCCGTGATATAAAACTTCCACAAAAATAAATAGGTAAACTGGAAAACAAGCTAGGAACCAATATGTCTGCATGTGTTTATAAAATGCAAAGGATTTTATGCATAATTAATATTTCAACTAAGAAAATATTTTAAGATGTTTAATATAAAAATCGAATGAATGACCTACACGTTCTGAAGGATAAAATAACACAAGGCTCCATGTAATGGCTCATATGATACATGACTCCAAACCAAAAAATATTTCACTAGTGTCTAAAATTTGTAAACTACTAATGAAATACAACATTTTTAAATATATAACACCAATTTGACAATTTCCAGAAGACATACTGAGTATGTCACTAATCCTAGGGTTGACAGATGTACTACACGCGTACATATCATTTATGGGTTGTAAAGAAAAAAGGGAATATCTACTTACACAGTATCGGAAATAATCCATATAATCTCAGATCCAAGCAGGCTCATGATGATTATACGCCATCAAAGGGTTTTATCAGTAATTCATATTCAGGAAGTGTCTATTTGGAAGCTGCATTGTTGCTGTCCATGGGCGCTTATCTTTATATAGTCCTCGCAAACTCTCCTGGGTAATTTGACAATCGGATAACACACTGTTACACTGTATCTTTGTTGATTTTTTTTTTTTTTTTTTTTTTTACATTTCTACTTATAAACAGTCCCTATCAGGTTATTTTCCGTTTTTCAGCTTTCGAAAAACATTCTTTTAGCGCTATTTACATGTACAATAATTTTTACGACTAAGATTAACCTTTGACAAACCTGTAATAAAGATAAGACTTTTTCTGAACGATTATTCACAATATATTGTAATGTTATAGAAATATATAAGATTTTTGTGACATAATAAATTAGATCCTTTTTGGAGAACTGAGTAAGCTATTTTGTGAATAAGTCCTCCGATATCTTTCGTACACTATGTAACATACATTTATGATAAATCTTGTCGCCAATGTGTACGACACTTGAAGCATTTATGTATTTGTTTCTCTTTAAGGGTCTGTTTCTAATCATCCTTTGAATTAACAGATTATCTATTTTTTTACCTTTAGCCTACCTTCTTTTGGTTACTTTAATATCAATCTTTAAATCGAGAGGTCTTTCCTTGTTTACTCGCTTAAGTAGAAACTGCGTTTAAAATCGGCTTCGTGTAAAGTGCATGTACTTGTACAAGGAAAGAGATAAATCTTTATTTGCTATAAATGAGAAAAGTCTTCAATATATATCTTGCTAATAACCATAAAGTATACCTTCATCTAACTTCTCACCAGCAAGAGGAGATGGGATTCCACATGGAATAATTACACTATTTAATAAAATAAGGCCCTACGTGTAGTTTTGATAGGAGAAAGTAATTTTAGAAGAATGACAATTATCAGGCTATTTTACCTCTGTATGCTAACAGAAGTAAGAAATGGTCGACACGGTTTACAATAAATTAGCCATCACCTTCTTATGACTCTCTAAGATGTTGCTGCACTGAAAACGATATTCAAACAAAATCTTAAAGAACCAATCTCGTGATCAAAGACAAATAATATATCATCATTTCGTAATATCCGGCTTGTAGAAAATAAACATTAATTTGTCTTTATGTACGGAGGAAAGAAAATGCTCTAATTAGAAATCAATATATGTCTGTGTTTGCTTGTTAAATGTACATGGTTGTACATGCTAAAGCTGATGCAACCCTAATATTTTGAAACTTTATCAATGAAAGGCATGTCACAAGTTCGCTGAACTACAGTTGACACAAAAAAACCTAAGTCGATAAATTTGGAACACACGTTTATCTTTTTTTCTCCCAAAAACTAGTGCCTAAGAAACACTTTGTTGGTAATTCATATCTTAAGCATGTCCCTTGGCAATGTCTTATAACACAACAGAAAGCTTCCAATCGTCACTAATGTACAGAATGCATAGAAGTTCTTGTTTGTATGATATTTTGAATAATGATAGTGGTCGATAAAAGCTGATCGCGTGCCTATCCTGAACCCCTTGTTAATTCCTGGTCTATTGTATCTATCAGAGTTTGGTACATATCCTTTAATGCTGAACTTGAGGTCTCCTCTTGTGTATCTTAAAACAATGATATTCCTCAAGAACAAACCTTTACCCAGTTGCCATAAATAAATGGAATGTGAAATATTTAAGACAAAGAATAAACAGTATGAATTACCTACTACTAAAATAATCCTTGAAGAGAAATCACATTTAATTTTGTGAACAATGAGGAAAAATGTGTGTATGTCTTCAGATGATACAAGTCTTTTGTTGGATTCTATGTCCGCTTTCAACAGTTCTTTTATTTTTAAGATCTGTGTCAGGGAATACGCCGGTTTCCTGCCTTGGAATAACATAAGTTGATGATATAATGATATCAACAATCTCGTTTAAAGTCAACATTTTTGCAAATTCCATGGTCGAAGCAATGACCTTGTTTGCAAATACAATCTACAGTTAGGTCGAATGTTGACTGATATTTTTCATACAAATTGTTTAAAAATTGTCGGGCAATTATTTTCACACTGAATTGTCAACAGCTATTTCCGTTTATCCGATCATAACAAGGGGCACACAGTGGGTGTAACCGGTCGACAGGGGATGCTCACTCCTCCGTAGCACCTGATCCCACCTCTGTTTTCAGAGGTCTGTTTGCTCTGCTCACAATTTGTGTTGTTTAATTGGACTTTTGAGCATGATTACTAATTTGTTATCTTCACATTTCAATAGTTACTTCTACTGTCAATGTTCCAAAGGGGTTGCATATCTAGAAGATTAATATTGAATATATTTACACCTTTTGGTTCATATTATTTTCTGTGCCAAACCGAGTACCATCAGTGTAAGCATCTACAAGATGCACTTAATTTTAAAGATACTGAAATTTACTCTGTAAATGAAACGCTGCATTTATCCTATATTAAATGCTAATTCATAATCGGGATGTTGCATTTAGCCCATATTAAATGTTAATTCATAACTGGAATGCTGCATTTAACCTGTATTAAATGTTAATTCATAACTGGAATGCTGCATTTAACCTATATTAAATGTTAATTCATAACGGGAATGCTGCATTTGACCGATATCGAATGCTAATTCATAACTGGAATGCTGTATATAACCTATATTAAATGCTGATCAATAACTGGAATGCTGCATTTAACCTATATTAAATGCTAACCCATAACTGGAAAGCTGCATTTAAAACACACACACACACACACACCCTCACACACACACACACACATATATATATATATATATATATATATATATATATATATATATATATATATATATATATATATATATATATATATATATATATATATATATATATATATATATATATATATATTAAATGCTAATCCATAGCTGAAATGCTGCATTTAACCTTAAAGTATATCAAATGCTAATCCATTACGGAATGATGCATTTAATCTTATAGTATATTTAATGCTAATCCATAATTGGAATGCTACATTTAACCTGCATATATAATAAATGCTAATCCATAACTGGAATGCTGCATTTAACCTTACACTATATTAAATGCTAATCCATAACTTGAACGCTACATTTAACCTACATATATAATAAATGCTAATCCATAACTGGAATGCTGCATTTAACCATATAGTATATTTAATGCTAATCCATAACTGGAACGCTACATTTAACCTGCATATATAATAAATGCTAATCCGTAACTCGAATGCTGCAACTAACCTTATACTATATTAAATGCTAATCCATAACTGGAATGCTACATTTAACCTACATATATAATAAATGCTAATCCATAACTGGAATGCTGCATTTAACCTTATACTATATTAAATGCTAATCCATAAATGAAACGCTACATTTAACCTGCATATATAATAAATGCTAATCCATAACTTGAATGCGCATTTAATCTTATACTATATTAAGTATGGTTCCGTGTAAAAATCATGCAGGTAGCACAGAAAAGGCGCTACATCGATAATCTGCAAATTCATTAAAACTGAGTTTAATATATTCATTTGGGTCTAAAATGAATGATAACGAATGGATTTGTTATAATTCTTCTTTTTTCATATAGCTAGGGATAGGGTACTCCAGGGGTAATTTTGTATGGATAGTGTGTAAATAGTGCATATTTCAGAAAATAATTTCTTCTAAACCCAAGAAGATGTATAAAATCTTAACACATAATTGCAGTGAAAATAGAAAGTGTAAATTAAATTTACTCTAATATTTTTGTGCAAACAAAGGATTGAAAAGATACAGGGTGTTAAAAATCTGGAATTTGTGAAGATTCTTCGTATGAGTTATCTCCCTTAGGAAATTTATATAGGTGGCGGTAGTAAAAAAAAAATGGCGGCCTCCATGAAAAGCTCTACTCTGCAAAGTTATTTTGATGCATCATGTGGTGTTCATTGGAAATACCCGTGTGAATTGAGTAAAAATGATTGAAAGGAATTTACAAGAACAGATTGGACATAGAGCTCGTGTAAATTAAGAGGAAAAAAAATCCGTGAAACGAGAAAGTGTAGCTTGGGATTATTACAGTGTCACGTGTTGATCAGGGTATCGGCAATTTTCCTTATTACTGACATCAGTATGGTCTATGTCTAAGTTAATCCACCAGAATCCAAGAGTAAGCCCTCAGAGAGGAGTTGCAGTCCGATTGTGTCAGCTTACTCAACTTGGAGAGGGAAGATAATGTACCGGCGCCACCGGTACATTTGGACAGCTGTTTGAACAGCTTGATAGGTAGGATTTAATTTAAATTTACTTCTTATATATGGTTATTGATATTTTATACAGTAAAGTATGTATTGGGAAAATTGTTGGGGATGGCCAGTTCCTACATATATCAATATCATGTCCATTTTGAAAAAAAATGACATCTTACACATATATGTTAGAATAATGTTACTGTGTCTTGGGACAGGCCCTGACCACAGTTAGAATGCCTTCCATATTCCCGCAATGTAGCAGTAAATGGTGGAAACACTCTGAAATGATTTTGGAGAAAATAAATGAAATTGCATTGAAAAATAAGCGTCAAGTTAATAATAACAAAGATAACCTTTTTTTGTCACAGGGATACCCTTCATCCCCAAAACTTAATCCATATAATGTAAGCGTTCAACACTTTTTGTCAACGTTTTTTTAAACGATTCAAATTTACATGCCATGTTGACAGTCAGAAATCTCCGAATTGTTCAGAGTAAATGCATTGACCAGAGTTAGTTATGACACGATAGCTCAGTGTTTTTCTTTGAAGTTTGCCGTTCTGTATTAATTAGCAATACAGAACAGGACTACAGTGGGCAGAGCTGATTTCCATTCTGTATTAACCCTATATACTGTCTTGTATTAGCCAACTATTCTGTATCTAAAATACAGCACAGTCTAAAAATAAATCTGATTCAATTTATCACAAGCAAGTACAAATAGTAAATGCTGAGTTTTTTCTTATTATAAAATTTGGAGAAATATATCCCTAGCAATGTAAAATATCAAAATTTCTCAATTTTTAAAAAATTATTCCACACAGAATCTAAACATTATTTCGATCCAAACAAAAAGGAAAATTCGCAGTTATGGAATGCATCCTATGTTTAATAAATTTCTGAAAACCTGTTTGCTTTCCCTGCTTTTTTGGGGTCCCCTTCAAAATAGTTAAGCCAATGGGTTCACGGGTGCAGCATACATTATGTGAACTTCGCACAGTCCCCCCCCCCCCCATTTTCCACTCTTCTTGTGCAAACTCATTCAAGTCCATTTTGAGCATTTTTTTTTAACATTTCATCTTAAATTCTTATCGCTGACGACTGCCGCACATCTCTTTCTCTTCGTTTTTAAATTTAATGTCGCATTTCAATAAGAAAATAAAAATCCGTGACATCAAAGTTCATTGAAGAACTGTTTGTATCGCCTGCATGTGTATCTAGTTAAACTGAGATTTTAAGACCCCTGAAATAAATTAGGATCAGTCTCCATCTACAGCAAGGTTAAATTGTCCACCTTATCAATTAAGACAACGTCTACCCCGTTGTCAAAACTAATCTGACTAAATCTTACGTTGTCCGTGAAAATATATATCTACTGCGGAGGCATACTTCCCATCAAGGCCTCATCTACAGAGAGAACAAACAAACACTGGCAGAAGTTTGAATGCTGGACAGCTATAAAGTGGGCGGTGCTTTTTCTTGATTGATCATGTCACAAATCATTTAGAGAACTCGATAGGTTCTGTATCGTAGATACAAATCTGGGGGCGGAAACTAGTGCTATGCACTCGTCCACCCCCAAATTTGTATCTACGATACAGAACCCATCTCATTCTCTAAATAATACTTATTGCCCAGTTTGTTTTGCTACATAACATTGCTAATACACATTCTTTCATTAAACCGGGTCTGTAGGAGAATATCATCTTAACAATAGAACATTTTATCATCATATAAGTATGAAACATTGTCTGTGCTCTCATCATTAATCAATACATGTCCCATACAACAACCATTATTTAACGTGGCCAAATTTAAGGGATTCAGTGGGAAGGCCCGGGCCATTAGCTTAAAAAATTCTTTGTTTGCAGTTGCCAACCTATAATTTTTAGAGTGGATAGATTTTTTTTTTTTTTTTTTTAAAAATAAGTTATTTTTCAGACTTTTATTAGGTAACAAATTATAGAGATATTCATACTTCAAGGCTTACTTAACATAAATAAGCTTCATTTGATAAAAACAAAAATAAAAAATAGAACATTTTCAATATCCTGAAAAACTGAAACTTAAAAAAAAATAATAATACAAAATGGCTGGAAAAAAAAGTTTGGGTCGGGTGCATTTATAAATGCTAATCCATAACTGGAACGCTACATTTACAAAAGCCTGAGTGACGCTGGTTTATGACAGAAATTAGCTTGTATAACACTTTTGATTTTTTTGAAACAAAAGTGTTAAGGATATAGGTTCCGTAATATTGGCGCAAGTTAGTGATTTGATTTACTTAGCTTTAATCAAATCAGGAGAAAAAGAATAAAAAAGTGAGAAATGCGCTTGTGTCAGATAATTCTCTGCATGGTCTTTCTTTCAAACGAATCTAGATACCATCACCCATTAACTGTAAATCAATGACTATACTCAGGGCTCTGGGAACAATTATGTAATCAATGCAAATTGTTTGCCGAATCATCAAAAGAATATTTGTTTACATTGCATTTAAATACAAAGCAAAGATACCGTCCTTGAATTGTTTTGTTTTGTTGTCCTCTACTTTTGAAAGCTTGTGAATTAAATTTCTACATATCGTCATGTTAGATATGTACTTTGAATTCATAATAAAATATAGAATTTAAAATATTAACTTTTTCGAGAACAGTGAACAAAGAAAGATTCTCATGGAAATTAAATAGAAAATATAGAAAATGATGCTTTCATTTATGTTTTTATGCATTCATTCATGTATTTATGTCGACTCGATATATTACATTAAACTCGAAATAAGACACTGCAGACTCTGTCACATCTGTTTCGTAAATGGATGTTCACTGACTAAAGATATTCATGGCCAACGAACAGCTAAACTATACGACAAACGGGGTGACTTCAACTTTTCCATCTTCATTTTTTTCCATTTATATAGTAATATTCTACATGTATATCACCTCCATATGGTGCTGATTCTGTTCGCAATAGATTGTTACGAACATTTTTTAACGGAGAAAAGCTACTGACAATAAGTTAATGATACAGGGTTTTTAACTCGTTTAAAGTCAGCCTTTCGCAAATTCTATGGCCGTTATAATGAAATTATTTGCAAAAACAACCTATCGTTGGGTCAAATTATGACTGAAAAAATTCCAACCAATTATTTTATATCTTAATTTGACCACGGGTTACTCTGATCAACACAGAGGACTCAAGCCGGTCGACAGGGGATGCTTACTCCTCGTAGTCACCTGATCCCATCTCTGGTGTTTCAAGGGGTCCGTGTATTTTTTTTACCCTTTTCACGATTCGTATTTTTTTACCGGATTCATAAGATTAATCACTGTTTGTTTTCTTTCCCTTTTACATTTTATGCCTCTTCCGTCCAATAAGGTGGAGATCTACAATATTTTTTTTTCATGTGTATCTTTGTCTTGCCACAAAATCCTAATTTTTTAACACCCTTTATTGGAATGGTTTTAAACTCTAATTTAATGTTGCTCATATCGTAAAGAGAAAATAATACACCAAAATGGTGAGCCATTCATGTTTTAAAGGTCTCAAAGGACGAGATTTTGACGTTTTAAAGTCGATAACTCTATTATAATTGATTATACAGTGTAAATATCTTCCATTCCCTGTATGTTTCTAATCATTACATTAGATACATGTATATTTGTGTTAATTCATTGACATATGCATAATTCTAACATAGTTGGAGAAAGGGAGAGCTAGACTTCCATTTTGTTGAAAACATAATCGTCTTACAATCGACTGTTGTTGAGAAGGAAGTATGTTATTTTCAGTTTTACAAACTGATTTACAAATTCGCGTTACAAAATATCTACCAAAGATTGTAAACAATAGTGTCTGCGAAATATTAATATTGTATTGTGTATAAGTACATTATTTGTAACAATTTTTTTTATTAATAAATCAGACAGAGATCAATTTTACGTCATTTTATGCCATCAATATCTCTGTTGTTGTTAAGAGTGAAATCTAACACAGTAGATAAATATTCCAGTACTAGACTCGCTGACCACGACTCAGGAACCCCGCCCTCCCAGAACCCACAATGACCGCCATGTTTGGTGGAAACCAATAGCATATTTGGATAATAATTGAAAATATCAAAAGGAATATGTTCTTGTTGACACACTGGGTCGTCCTGGCTGTTTATGCACATTACAGGGATAGCAATGTCATCTACGTCTCGTAGTGGATTATTCTTCTCTAGGAAGTCTTCCATGGAGGAATATCCAAGTGGATTGCAGTAAACCATCTCCACATACTGTAGTAAATTCCACGAACTAAACGCTGATTGTAGATTAACCGATTTTGTTAAAGCTTTAGAATGACGTAAAAGCGTTATTTTAAGTCCACATAGAACAACAAACTGATAAAATTTTGGAACATCTTTTAAATAGTCTTGATCAATTTCATATGGTGGTGATATAAAAGCAGCAGCTTTTAAACGAGTTGAGGAACCAAACTCGCCTAAATAAGAGAACAGTACGGTGGAACCCGAACCTACTCCGATGGCAGTAATGTTAGCTTTGGGAAACTTACGATTAATATACATCACACATTGTCTTAGATCAGTTGGATCACCATAACTTTGGAATTTACATGTTGCCAGGTAACTACTTCCATGACCACGCGAATTTATCACAACAACACGATAACCTTCGCCACATGCCTTTGAACACAAAGTCCGAACGCCTTTCTTATCGTCTGCTTGGCCCGGAAGTACAATGACTATTGGGCTTGTTCGCTTCTGAGGATTATCAGGAATTCTACACCAATCCAACGCTACAATACCTTTATCCGTAAGTTGAAGGTATTCTCTATCGTATATCACATTGTTCCTTTGGATAAAAAGTCCTAGGAAACTCTGTATATGAGCATTCCTCGCCCAAACCGCCGGTCGGAACGGTTTCTTTAGGTTTGTACATTGCCGGATGAGGTATTCATTCAGCCGGGATTCCTTATAGAAAAGTGTCGGCTTGTTTTCAGTCTCCAAGAAGTGTTTAAAGACATTATAACACAAATATATTACAAGACTGATTACTGATACCTCGAAAATCGTACCAAATGTGCATATTCCTGCTGTCACCAGCATGTCGAAGTCTCTCTTTTCAAATCTGAAATAGGATTAAACTGTCATATTTAGTACAGAGGGGTGTTTGATTTCATTGCAAACATTTAAGTAATGGATTATAGAAAATGTAAATATCCGATGTGAAATATTTAGTGCAGAAACAGAAATGATATGAATTAATGAGCATTTAAACATCACCTGAAAGTAATGAATAACTGTCGCCAGAGTTCAATGTAAAAAAAAACAACATATAAACAGACTTAAGGATTTTGTCACACATTGGCGGTATTTGTTGTTTTACCTAGAAAAGGGGTCGATTTTAACGTCAGAGTAAACGTGTCATTGTTGCACAGATAATGAAAACATTGCCAGCAGGTAGAGAAACGAAGAAGAAATACACGGTGACCGTTCATTAAAGTAGTAAAGATTCTTTTTCAACTTTAAATGTGAAGTTTGAATCTGGAAAAAAGGACTAGAGATATTTAATCATTCCAGTCCAGTAGAACTTATTATATCAAACCAAATGTCAGTTACGGGAAAGAACAACTTACCCAGTTTGTTGGCGGATTTAGAGCAAACATTTCACTTTCATATTTTATCCACAATAATAACAAACTCATTTCCTCATTGCACAAGTAGAAGGTTTTGTACTGATTCAATGGAGCGACAAGACCTACTCCGCCAAATATCAATTTTCCTCCATTGTGTGTATCCATTCTGTTATAAACACTAAAACAAATTTGCTTTTGTGCACGCTATTCATTTAATGAATTGAATACCGGAAATTACGTGGATTGTTCTATTCTTCAATTCAAAACGGGAATTTAAATTGAATTTTATTTAGCTGTAACAAAGTCTAATTAATTGATTGCGTAACAAAGCAATAAAATGTACAAAGTAAATCTATACCTGCTTCCTTTAAAAAAATTCTTCGGAAATCGTCATCTGTAGTTGTGCACGTATAATCAAGAACCCGTTCGACATCTCAGTATAAACAGTATAAGCGTTGTAAGGACATATTAATAGAAGAGTGATAGAGATAAAAACTAAACGGGGGGGGGGGGACTCTTTTTGTAGAAACAGATTTACAGATATCTAAATATATTAATAAAGCTACGACTTTCTAGCAAGAGGAAAAAACAAGGAGCTAAGATAGAAACGGTTTCCTACCTGAGACTCCTGCAGAATCTAAAGTTACATCCTCCACAGAATATGAAGAAAAGTTAGTCTATAAATTTGTTTATCGAATATCACTTTATACATCGGCTGCAATTTCTTTGAAGCTCAGAGACTTCTGGTAATGCTGTCAGCCAATACCGTCAGTTATATGGTGTGTCAGTTATACATGTATGGTGTGTCCGTCCTCTGGATCTTTACACCGAGCTGGCTAAGGACGTATGTATAATAGTTTACATGTCCGTCATCTCTCATTAGCATTGTTTACTCTATTTAAAAAAGCAAGAAACAAATTAACGAAATGTCAAGTATATTTTTCTTGTTATTAAGAGCCAGCTGTATTAACAACACTATTTTTTTTTTAAATGTGGTATTAATTTAATTGTTTTTTTCTTGTTGTCATAGAATCTGAGGATAAGCCATGGAAAAACTTTGACATATTAAGAATACATTCAGTACTGTACTATGTACTGTCAATGTTGTTATATTGGAGAAAACGTAAATGGAAAAAGAAATAATCACCAACCGAAAAAAAAACAACGGACCCGTTCATATGTTCTTCAAATTACATTCTTGGGCCCCAAAATAACTATAATGGATGGCCATTTGGAACTCCTCGTGATTTATTATTACTGTTCATGCAGGAAAACGATATTGAGAAATGATGTCGGAATGTAATTGTAAATTATGCTGTCGATAAATGGAAAGAAAGAGGCCAAACCGTGTAAGGAAGTTTCCATTATTCAAAAAGCAAAATGATTTCAGCAACATTTCATTTCATCACATGGTAGCTAAATTTTGAATAAATTGTTTCACTGTACGTTTATTATAAGAAAGGAATACGATACTTATCCATGAAAGCAACTCATATTGTGTCGTGAAGTTGAAATAAACGTCCTCTTTTAAAATGTTTCGGATAAACAATATGGTACCAATTTATCTTTCAGTCAGTAATATTCGATGTCGACTTCAAAAATGCCAACTTTAATACTCCATCTTTACTTTGTTATTGAAATTGTAATGAAATTCAGAACATTAAATTGTGAATATGACCTTGGCTTGTCTTTATACGAATTATTGTAATATGACGGATTTTAATATAAACTGACATACTTTCTAATCCCGAAGAATGATAAATCACATCATAAGAACAAAAGAAACCCAATACACAGATCTAAAAACGAACTAGATTCATTATATAGCTGTGTCATTCAAACCATTTAATGCTGACACAAGAGTACAGCGTGTTTCTTTTTTAAATAAAATAACATTGAATGTAAAAGGGATTTGACATTTTGAATAAATCTGATAACAATTTATAATTTCAGCTGCGTGAAATTGAAGACATTTACTGATCTGACATTAAGTATGTTGTCCATGATTAGAACATTTCTTATAGTACACATTACGAGTTAAAGTATCGCCCCATGTGTCACCTAACCTTATCTTTTGTTATCTATGATCTACTCATTTAAAAATAAAATCCACGCAACACACACTTTAATTTCAAAAAAGTTTGATTTTTTTTTTCTTTTAAAAGACCCCATCATAAAAGTAAAAATGATAAGGTATGAGAAATAAATCATAGTGTATCATACAAGATGTATTTAAATACTGATTATACCCCGTTCATAAATGAAGCATATTGTACGTTATAAAATCGCTTATGTAACTGGAGTGTACTTTAATTTAAAGTACGACAATGCTTCCAAACCACATACAAGAAAGCATTTCTTTCAGTAGATGCACCGCTCTGAGCTGCATACTGCAAATGGACTAATCAAGGAGAAGTAGCTTCACTAATTAATTTCAGCATGAGCTTTTGCAATAATAAAGAGTTTTATGGGTTTTTTAAACACAATAAAAAAATCTGGGCTTTCTATCATCAAATTGCCAGATTCACGCCTAAAGCAATACTATAAATGTACAGGGAACCATTTATACAAATATCAACCCCCCTAATGTTCTCCACGGGAATCACACACAAACCGAGGAGAAAGATCAAAGACAAGGACTTGGTTTAGTAGGATTTCAGTACTTGTGAGTAATACTGAAGACACTATGCTTGCTGTGACAGCAGAATTTTCCAAGTCAAAGAGGAAACTAATAACTTTGATTTATTCAGAATTCAGCGAGATACAACTATAATGGACATTTTACACAAGGGAGTTTATTGTATCACACAGAGGGCTTAAGATGAATCTAATTTTCCACAAAATAATGAACATAAAAAATAAGCCAAAAAGAGGATCAAAAAAGACATTGTGTATTTAACAATATTAATTACAACTACAGTTTCGTTTTCATCTGATTAAACTGTAAAAAAAATATTCTAACATACCTTCATATTCCAGAAATACAGCAATTCTCATTGATAAGAAAGGGTAAAAAAAATCAGTAAATACACGTGTGCATAAATTAATGTTATTATTATAAATCTTATGTATATTATCCTAGGCCTTTACTTTGTAAAAAAAAAATGCCTTAGGAATTTTCTTTCACGATTTGCACGTTTTAAAATTACTTATACTTTCATTACACTTTTTTAAATACATATGTATACATTGACGTAAATCGTGGCTGCTATGATAGCTTTAAACAAAAATCATAAAATCAGCTACATTATAACAAAATCAATGGCACTAAACTCGGATTGTTCCCTAAGAATGAATAGTTTACACGTATATAAAAGGAATCCTTTAACGTTAAAAGAAATTTCAGAACAGAGTAAAAGTAATGTGATAAGTGGATTTTAGTTCATATACATGTAAATCATTCTAGCCAGACAACAATCCGGGTAACCTAATTTTACCTGTGTTAGAATACGTCATTACTTAATTATTACAGTATACTCTACTTCTGAAAATCAAATTAATGAACATTTCTCTCAATAATCAATGAGTTTTTACTGCCACAGCAAATATTGACAGGATGTCCCGTTAGTCCTTGGTCATATTAAAATAAAAATGGAATAGAAAGCGAAAAGTTTGGTAAGACAACCAAGTATACAATTTTGAAAATATACCTTGGCCACTTCTGATAAGAAAACACTTGTAAAAAAAAAAAAAAAAAAAAAAAAAAAAAACACTTACACGTATGAAGTCAGATTTCCACCATCATAATTTGATTACTTGACAAATGGCACGAGATGTCCATCTGAATTCAGTATCACTTTTCCGTATAGGATTCTCTAATCTTTCCTACCTTATACATTTATATGGAGATCATTTTTCTGGTGTTGGAAACAAAGCCAGTTATCTGTGGTCTACAAACAAATCGATTGTTCAGACAACAGAGGGAGAATAAGGCAGACTTTTTATATGTATATACACCATTTATTCTTCAGTCAAGACTTACACTTAATGTCGTAAATCATTGAACCTATCCTTCTTATTTTTGAGGCCTTTTCTACATTCTGATAAGTAAACACTACTGTAACTTTTAAAGTTCTACCATCAATCTTGTTTTCATAATCATTTAATTTACGGGGCAATGTTCTATTTACAGTGTTGTCGATATTGTCATAAAAAGTATCATTGACATACGTATTTAAAATCCATTTGTGGAATATCAAAACATATTTGTTACAAGGGTTTCATTTTCTTTTAAGGATAAATAACAAACAATCTTTTTTCCTATTAAAATTCAAATATTCCGGATTAAATGATACCCCCTCTTATCAAATTTTTGATTTAAGCAACTTTACGTTTGACCAAGACACAAAATCTGGTAAAAGTTGTGAAAATGTAACTTTATACTCAGTAGTTCAATATAATTTTTGAAAAGATTTTATAAAGATATCAAGTATTTCTTAGAACATTATTAACAGTCTTTTTTTTTTTTTTACATTTTACACAATTAAAATTTCCTAATTAGATTTCAATTGAAAGACATATTGAAAAAATAGCAGTGTTACTCTTTTGTGGGAGAAAAAACAAGCAAATTCAATGAATTGTGGTCTCCCGCTATTATTTATGGCATATTGTAACTTGTTTGTGTGTCCTGTATTGTCTATGCATTATACAAAAAGACATATATTATTGAATTAATAACAGTTATGGCAAAGATTATAGCTTCTCAAAACTACATCAAACTTAAAGATCAAGGTCATGAGGTCAAATATAATACAATCCAAATGGTCTTGTCGCAAGTAATGTTCATGTGAAAAATAATTTCAAAAACCAGAGTACAATCGGAAAGGTCTTGAAACAGGTAATGTACATTCAAATATGAAAGCCCTATCTTTCTTAATCAAAAGTTATAAGCAAAAATAAATTTTTGAAAAGTAGGTCAAACTTCAACCTCAAGGTCACAGGGTCAAAAATCATAGTACATTTAGAAAAGTCTTGTCACAGGTAATATACCTGTATAATATATGTTTCCTCTTTCAAAAGTTATGACCAATTTAATGTAATTGTATTGTTAAAATTTTTGAAAAGTATGTCAAACCACAAGGTCACGGGATCAAAAATCATAGTATACGTACATGCATTTGGAAATGTCTTGTCACAGGTAATGTACATGTGAAATATGAGAGCCTTAAATCTCTTCTCATTCAAAGGTTATGACCATTTAGGTTTAAGTTTTTGTGATAGACGGACAGACTGACAGACGATAGAGATTTAATGTCCCCTTGCTTTCGCGAAAATCTGGGGAAAAATTGATTGTGGTATTGCTGAATGTGAACAGTGTCCGGCATATATACGACTGTCGTGGATACATTTTGTATTGACATATACATGTATGTATCCAGTTAATGACTTCTTTCCAGCCTACAACATTTACATGTTTATTTATGTTTTATACTTATCCAGTGTTTCCAGGCTTAATGAGATTCACACAGAAAATTGCTCATTCTCGACCAAATTAATTATACTATGAAACGCTAACTACAGTTTGTTCTTTAAAGTTTGTCTCATAAATATATTATTTAGAAGATATAAATTATTTTCAATCACACTGATATATTCACAGGACATCGAACCCTGTGGTTAATCTCATGAACCTATATACCTAAGCATTTCAAGTAGCATTAGCCAAAGTAATAGACCATAAAGCGCTCACATTAAAACGTAGTATACATGGTAAAATTAAAACACATTCTGACAAAGACTTTGCTTACCTGTGAGTGGTTTTGCCTTCATTCATATGTATCTATATACATCCATATCATCTGGAGCTGAATGAACCACTAGGTCATTGGTGTCAATCTCGTAATCCACTACGTACGGCGGAACTCAGATTGCGACAGATGGGTTTACAACTGTACAGATGAAATGATTCACATGTTCAAACTGCGTAAATTGTCTCAACCTCAATCAGAAAAATTATAGACATATAGCATCCTGTATTCAAGTACAATTTAAGCGTTCTGTATTATTATTTACTCTTTGCAACCCGATATAATGTACTGTTCTTTTTGATTTGGGTCCGTCAGGTGTTAAGAAATGTACCATTAATAATTATGTAGACAAATTAAATTGATAGTTTCATATAAAGACAAGATATATCAACAGATCGAAACTTTGGGTTGTGTAAATACTCAAAGAAGAGATTATCCTTAGATACAAATGGAATTTAATTGGACAACTTTAAGGTCTCGCACAATAAGATAGAAACGTAAAAGGAAATGCATCGCATTTTGATATCTTGTTATATTGCTGCTGGAGAAATGACTTCTATTGTACAATAATGCATTGCATAAGAGGGCGTAATGAATACAAGTACTTCAAAAGGATCTTGTAGCCTCTCCTTACACCATACTTATCATGTAATAGGAGAATGATCAACTTATTCATTATTTTTAGTAGTATCATCATTAATTCAACATGACTTTTTTATATCTGTATTATTTGTCTAATAACGATAAAAAGTCTGCTTTAAATGCCACTAAATAATTTCGGCACTCCCAATAATTTTTTTGCCAAACAATAGGTAGTCAGACTGGTGTCTATTACTGGTAATCAGATTGGTGGGTGTTGCTGGTAGTCAGATTGGATTCTGTTTCTATCAGATTGGTGTCTATTACTGGTAGTCAGATTGGTGGATGTTGCTGGTAGTCAGATTGGTGTCTGTTATTGGTAGTCAGATTTGTGTCTGTTACTGATAGTCAGATTGGTTTCTATTACTGGTAGTCAGATTGGATTCTGTTTCTGTCAGATTGGTGTCTATTACTGGTAGTTAGATTGGTGTCTATTACTGGTAGTCAGATTGGTGTTACTGGTAGTTAGATTGTTTCTGTTACCGGTAGTCAAATAGTTGTTGCTATCGGTAGTCAGATTGGTGCCTGTTTCTGGTAGTCAGATCGGTGTCTGTTACTGGTAGTCAGATCGGTGTCTGTTACTGGTAGTCAGATTGGTGTCTGTTACTGGTAGTCAATTTGTGTCTGTTACTGGTAGTCAGATTGGTGTCTGTTATTGGTAGTCAGATTTGTGTCTGTTACTGATAGTCAGATTGGTGTCTGTTATTGGTAGTCAGATTGGTGCCTGTTACTGGTAGTCAGATTGGTGTCTGTTACTGGTAGTCAGATTAATGTCTGTTACTGGTAGTCAGATTTGTGTCTGTTACTGGTAGTCAGATTGGTGTCTGTTACTGGAAGTCAATTTGTGCCTGTTACTGGTAGTCAGATTGGTGTCTGTTATTGGTAGTCAGATTGGTGCCTGTTACTGGTAGTCAGATTGGTGTCTGTTATTGGTAGTCAGATTAATGTCTGTTACTGGTAGTCAGATTGGTGTCTGTTACTGATAGTCAGATTGGTGTCTGTTATTGGTAGTCAGATTGGTGCCTGTTACTGGTAGTCAGATTGGTGTCTGTTACTGGTAGTCAGATTAATGTCTGTTACTGGTAGTCAGATTTGTGTCTGTTACTGGTAGTCAGATTGGTGTCTGTTACTGGTAGTCAATTTTTGCCTGTTACTGGTAGTCAGATTGGTGTCTGTTATTGGTAGTCAGATTTGTGTCTGTTACTGATAGTCAGATTGGTGTCTGTTACTGGTAGTCAATTTGTGTCTGTTACTGGTAGTCAGATTAATGTCTGTTACTGATAGTCAGATTGGTGTCTGTTATTGGTAGTCAGATTGGTGACTATTACTGGTAGTCAGATTTGTATCTATTACTGATAGTCAGATTGGTGTCTGTTATTGGTAGTCAGATTTGTGTCTGTTACTGATAGTCAGATTGGTATCTATTACTGGTAGTTAGATTGGTGTCTATTACTGGTAGTCAGATTGGTGTTACTGGTAGTTAGATTGTTTCTGTTACCGGTAGTCAAATAGTTGTTGCTATCGGTAGTCAGATTTGTGTCTGTTACTGGTAGTCATATTGTTGTCTGTTACTGGTAGTCAGATTGGTGTCTATTACTGGTAGTCAGATTGGTGTCTGTTACTGGTAGTCAGATTGGGTGTCTATTACTGATAGTCAGATTGGTGTCTGTTACTGGTAGTCAGATTGGTGCCTGTTACTGGTAGTCAGATTGGTGTCTGTTACTGGTAGTCAATTTGTGTCTATTACTGATAGTCAGATTGGTGTCTGTTACTAATAGTCAGATTGGTGTCTGTTACTGGTAGTCAGATTGGTGCCTGTTACTGGTAGTTAGATTGGTGTCTGTTACTGGTAGTCAGATTGGTGCCTGTTACTGGTAGTCAGATTGGTGTCTGTTACTGGTAGTCAATTTGTGTCTGTTACTGGTAATCAGAATGGTATCTGTTATTGGTAGTCAGATTTGTGTCTGTTACTGATAGTCAGATTGGTGTCTGTTATTGGTAGTCAGATTGGTGCCTGTTACTGGTAGTCAGATTGGTGTCTGTTACTGGTAGTCAGATTAATGTCTGTTACTGGTAGTCAGATTGGTGTCTGTTACTGGTAGTCAGATTGGTATCTATTACTGGTAGTCAATTTGTGTCTGTTACTGGTAGTCAGATTGGTGTCTGTTATTGGTAGTCAGATTTGTGTCTGTTACTGATAGTCAGATTGGTATCTATTACTGGTAGTTAGATTGGTGTCTATTACTGGTAGTCAGATTGGTGTTACTGGTAGTTAGATTGTTTTCTGTTACCGGTAGTCTAATAGTTGTTGCTATTGGTAGTCAGATTGGTGTCTGTTTCTGGTAGTCAGATTGGTGTCTGTTACTGGTAGTCAGATTGGTGTCTATTACTGATAGTCAGATTTGTGTTTATTACTGATAGTCAGATTGGTGTCTGTTACTGGGAGTAAATTGGTGTCTGTTACCGGTAGTCAAATTGGTGTCTATTACTGGTAATCAGTTTGGTGTTACTGGTAGTCAGATTGGTGTCTGTTACTGGTAGTCAGATTGGTGTCTGTTACTGGTAGTCATATTGTTGTCTGTTACTGGTAGTCAGATTGGTGTCTATTACTGGTAGTCAGATTGGTGTCTGTTACTGGTAGTCAGATTGGGTGTCTGTTACTGGTAGTAAATTGGTGTCAATAACTGATAATCAGACCGATGAAGATAACAAAAAGCGATCATATATTAATGAAAGTCAGATTGAGTTGCACATCTTTAACTATAGTCAGATTTGTATGTGTGTGACTTTTTAGATGCATGTCTTCGACTTTTTTCTTTTCAATATGTTGCTGAGTGGTATGTTTTTAACATGTAGTCTGATTTTTGCCTTTTAGTTTTTAGTTGGATATCTGTGAATAAGTTAATTTCGTTTGTATTCTATCCTCTGATTGGTTAATATCCAAAAAGGAACACAAATTATTGGTTTGGTATGGGGACACACCCCCTGACAACCAGCTGAATCATCTGTATCCATAAAATCCTCTCATTTCTAGTCCTCGGGATTCATGGAAAATTCCAGATTTAATAAATGTACTTTTAACTTCAAACAATAATTCGATCTTACCACATGTAAACAAACAACAAGGCTGCTAGGCCTATGGATAAGCTTTTACCTCCCCTCGCTTCCCATCACTTCCGTTACTTCCGTTACTACGGTTGTATTATTGAGCGGCAAATTTGAACTAATAAAAAGCAACGACAGTCTAGTTATAGACACCCATAGTTATTTAATGATTTTAAAATTAAATTATAAGGAATTCGCGGATTATAAAGCGTAAACTGACTCAAACCAGATTAACTCGAATAATTTGGCCAAGAATTAGAGTCATTTCTAAAATATTTGTCTGATTTGTATGTCTGTGATATTTGAATTGCATCAATATTTGTCTGTAATTAGTGATTTTGATTTATGATTTGTAAGTTGGGCGTGTGTTCATCGTCAATTTCTTAATGACAAGTCTTTGATTAGTAATCTGAGTTTTGTATGTGTGACTCATAAGTAATGTGTCTGAGACAATTATTTTGATTTTATGTCTGCGACTTTTGCGTCTCTGATTCCTAGTCTGAGATACAGGTCTTTGAACTTAAGGATTTGTCTTTGACTTGAGGTCTTCGTTAAATGTCTGACTTGTATGCTAAAATCATAAGTTGTGTGTCTCTAACTATAAGTTTGTATCAAATCTATCTTGTAAATCTATGACTGAGTTATATCTAATTTCAACCTTTACGTAACTGGTCTGACTACGTACCTGTTACTTATGTGACCTCGTGACGTCTGATTTAGAGCTGGGACTTTTGTACCTGTTACTTATGTGACCTCGTGACGTCTGATTTAGAGCTGGGACTTTTGTACTTGTTACTTATGTGACCTCCTGACGTCTGGTTTACAGCTGGGACTTTTGTACCTTTTAATTATGTGACCTCGTCGTTACGTCTAATTTAGAGCTGGGACTTTTGTACCTTTTACTTTTGTGACCTCGTCATGTCTGATTTAGAGCTGGGACTTTTGTACCTGTTACTTATGTGACCTCGTCGTGACGTCTGATTTAGAGCTGGGACTTTTGTACCTGTTACTTATGTGACCTCGTCGTGAAGTCTGATTTAGAGCTGGGACTTTTGTACCTGTTACTTATGTAACTTTGTCACGTCTGATTTAGAGCTGGGACTTTTGTACCTGTTATTTATGTGACCTCGTGATGTCTGATTTAGAGCTGGGGTTTTGTACCTGTTACTTATGTGACCTCGTGATGTCTGATTTAGAGCTGGGACTTTTGTACTTGTTACTTATGTGACCTCGTGATGTCTGATTTAGAGCTGGGACTTTTGTACCTGTTACTTATGTGACCTCGTCGTGACGTCTGATTTAGAGCTGGGACTTTTGTACCTGTTACTTATGTGACCTCGTCGTGAAGTCTGATTTAGAGTTGGGACTTTTGTACCTGTTACTTATGTGACCTCGTGACGTCTGATTTAGAGCTGGGACTTTTGTACTTGTTACTTATGTGACCTCCTGACGTCTGGTTTAGAGCTGGGACTTTTGTACCTGTTACTTATGTGACCTCGTGACGTCTGATTTAGAGCTGGGACTTTTGTACTTGTTACTTATGTGACCTCGTGATGTCTGATTTAGAGCTGGGACTTTTGTACTTGTTACTTATGTGACCTCGTGATGTCTGATTTAGAGCTGGGACTTTTGTACCTGTTACTTATGTGACCTCGTCGTGACGTCTGATTTAGAGCTGGGACTTTTGTACCTGTTACTTATGTGACCTCGTGACGTCTGATTTAGAGCTGTGGCTTTTGTACCTACTACTTATGTGACCTCGTGACGTCTGGTTTAGAGCTGGGACTTTTGTACCTGTTACTTATGTGACCTCGTCGTGACGTCTGATTTAGAGCTGGGACTTTTGTACCTGTTACTTATGTGACCTCGTGTCGTCTGATTTAGAGCTGGGACTTTTGTACCTGTTACTTATGTGACCTCCTGACGTCTGGTTTAGAGCTGGGACTTTTGTACCTGTTACTTATGTGACCTCCTGACGTCTGGTTTAGAGCTGGGACTTTTGTACTTGTTACTTATGTGACCTCGTGTCGTCTGATTTAGAGCTGTGGCTTTTGTACCTACTACTTATATGACCTCGTGACGTCTGATTTAGAGCTGGGACTTTTGTATTAGTCCGAGTTGACTTTGTATTAGTGACTTCTATATACATGTATTGTCTGTAGCATAAAGTCTTTCATGATTAATTTTAATAGGCTATTTTTAAATAGTACTCGTCCTTTTGTGCAACACAGAGATAAATGGAATCGCACATTTTTTGAAGTACCAAGAATTCTGTTGTACACTAGTATGGCATGTCAAACGTTGCAATATTCAATCTTTTCCATTTGTATTGTATAATTTTCCATTTGTGTTATATAATTTTTATTTATATTCTATATTTTTTCATTTGTATTGTATAATTTTTATTTGGATTGTATAATTGTCTATTTATATTTCTATAGTTTTCCATTTGGATTGTATAACATTTATTTGTATTCTACAATGTATATTTTCCATTTGTATTAAAAAAAATTCAATTGTATTAATATTGTTTTTTTTTTTTTTTTTTGTATTCTACATTTTCCATTTGCATTGTATAATTTCGTATTTGAATTGTATAATATCTTATTTGTTTGCGATAATTTTTCATTTGTATTGTATCCGAGGGATTGTTTACTTTTTTTCGTTAAGAAGGCTTTCATTGGTCAAGTTTTATTCTTCTTTTTTTTGTAGTAAAGTGTTCAAACAAGCAAGATGTTTCGAGTGAACTGGGCTCCTCTTTTTGTTTGGATGCTAAGGGCCGGTCATATTTTTATTATCATTATTTTTTTTAAATTAATTTATTGATTTTTTTCTCTCTCTCTCTTTATTTAGAGAATGTTTAGAGAATGTCCAGGATGACCAGACACAAAGAGAAGAAGAAAAAGAAGAAAATCTGCCCAAACCCGAAAACTTCATTTCCTAGGGGTTGGGGGGGGGGGTGAGGTACCACCAGCCAAGATCAAATTATTTATTTTCTCAGATAACATTTCTAAGGGCAGATTATTTATTTGCCAGCTGCCAGCGCTCCCTTTTCATCTAAATGGCCGTTCTCTAACAGGCACGCAAATACATGTACTTGTACATATAGGAGCCCAGTTTCGCTCATTTTCAACACGACACAGGCTAAATCTTGACCAATGAAATCTTTCATTACGAACATGACGAAATAAATAAACAATCTTCGGATACAATACAAATGAAAAATTATCGAATACAAATAATAAATTTTACAATACAAATAAGAAATTATACAATGCAAATGGAAAGTATTGAATGCAAATGAAAAATTATACAACACAAGTGATTTTTTACAATCCAAATAGAAAATTATAAAATACAAATAAAAAGAATATACAATTCATATGGCAAATTATAGAATACAAATGGAACATTATATAGACTATAAATAAAAATTATACAATACAAATAAAAATTAGACAAAACAAATGAAAAATATACAATACAAATGGAAATTTATACAATACAAATAAAAATTATACAATACAAATTGAAAATTATAGAATACAAATAAATATAATGCAATACTAATAAAAAAAATTTACAAAGCAAATTGAAAAGATCGAATATTGCAACGTTAACTATGACTTGCCATACACTTGAAAGTTAATCTTACCTTACATTAATTTTAGCTAACGTTTCAGATTTCTATAAATGGGTCAACTAACAGTTGACAAGGATTTAGGCAATACGAACTCAGAAAAATATTTCCTCCCTCTCAAATCATTGTGCTTACGTGCAGTTATGCAGCGTACGTATAGCGAAACCAAAGAATAGAATAGATTAACAATTTCTGACAATCAGTTTTTTAGAAATTTGGTAATAAACAAATTGTATTTTAACTATACCTGAAAACGAAATATCGATATTTATTGCGTTAGTCAGCTGTACAGATCTAAATCATCATACAACTTGTGCACGTATAATGTAAATTTGAATCAATACTTACTGTATCTATAGCTGAGGCATCTAATACCTTTGTCCCGTGCTTATTGTCCCCTATAATGAAGCGCCAGATATAGACCCGTCCATTACTTTTCTGATTCTTTGATGCGATTTCAAGAACATTCAAAGAGAGATAACCAACATGTATCTCCAAGTTGGTCTCAAATTACTAAAGAACGGAATATTATATAGATTTTCATGCATGTTTATAAAAGAAGTAAATTGTTTCATAATAACGAATGTGTGGCTAACAGAATCATCGTGTTAGTGTAGTAAGGATTTACGTAAGCAGTGAATAAAAGAAAGAATCTAAGTGCAATTTTCTTCTAAACGCTTTCAGTTATTGACCTGATTTTTGGTATGTAACTTTTCCTTAATTAGTTAAAGATCAAGTTTGCATTTCCTTCCGCTTCATTGATTTTTGACAGAATTATGGCATATTCAATTCTTAACGGGAACCAGATTACACTTGCCGGTAGGGGACTAGTATTGCTCATGCAATACTCTCAGAATGCTTGTTTCTTTTCATGTCAGTTAAGGATAGATTATTTTATTTTCAAGATGATCAAGGACAGACTATATATTTTCTCCTTTGCTAAAGAAAGATTGACAAGGAGAGAGAGAAAAAGAAACGGGGAGGGGTTAGTATTATTGGGCTCAGTCGAGGAGTACAGCTTCTTTATTTTCTTGCCAGTTGAGGACAGATTATATTTATATTCAATATTTTTGCGGACAGATTATTTATTTTCAAAATCTGTCAGCCCCCCCTCCCGAATCAAAATGCTCGTCCCCTCATGGTCATATTTATTTTTATACAGAATGATGACATTGAAAAGTTCACAACATCCCTGTCCTTGACGTACAATGTACGTACAAGTATTTCGCTCTCATGAAGTGACACTTTGTTGTTTTCAAATGTTACTAATTTCAGGCATGTAGAATCGCTTCTTAAAGTTTAGAGGATAACTGAAAGAAAGAAAGAAAACCATTCTCTGTAAAATAGATTATGATTTCAAGTCAGTTTGCCTATCACTGGTCACAGAGGCCCTTAATCGGCCGATTTGGTTACGTGACAACGGGAACTCGTTTTGGAATGAAATGCGCAATAAATAGTGAAATCTCAGTCATTGTGTAATCCTTCATAGCTAACCAATCATAATCTTTCATACATATAGAATTTTTTGTTCAAAGTTTTTTGTTTTTTTTTTAAATCATACAGTCGTCGCCTGGAGAACAGAAATAATCAAATATACATAAAGTCTAGTTCCGTAATAAAAACACTTAACCTGACCATTCAGCCACATAACAGTTTCATTTGTTTGTAATGTAAAATGCGTTATTTTATTCTTAGAAAATGACATACAAATGCGTCCACACAGAAGAAATACCCCTGACCTAATAAAAATAAGAATGGATTTCATTGTCTGTAGTTTTCATCGATTTCAAAATTACCTTACTATTCCAGATACATTATAGATAGCACATTCTGTAAAGTATATGTGGCAAGTAACTAGATATAAACTGCCCTCCTTTGATGAATGCACAGTATCTTCGTGATTTTTACCTCAATCATATCTAAGAAATATGAATCGTGATTAAGTATGTCATTATTTCTCTACATAAAGAAAAACTCAACAGACATTTTCAAAAAAAATGTTCTTCTAACATGTTTTATAAATGTGAAAATTTACAAAATTAAAATAAATGCAATTTTACGAAAGTTTATAAAGGATAACCAAAAGTAAATACTTGGTGTATAGAATAATATATCAAGCGAGTTAATTTTCAAGTAACTATTATAGTTGATATTTTCTTCACTAACTGGAACCTTAAAAAGGAGGCCCATGGGCTTTAACAGTCACCTGAGTATTATATGAAACTTGGGAGCCTTTACACATCTAGCCTTGGCCCAGAAAACAGTGGTCTGAAAAAGTTTCTACGTTAACTTCAGGATTACATTTCAAAATAATTTGTTAATTTGAAACATTTTCTTTGGGTGATCATTTTCTATTACCTTTAAAATCTCCTTATGATAAAATGCACCCCTATTTTTTTTTTTTTAATTCGAACATTTTTTGTGGTAAAATCCCTGACTTTGAATCTGAATATTTCCAAACAAGTTTTATGAACTCGACTTTCTTGTGAATGAGATTTTTCCTTGTTTTTTTTTTAAAAACAACTTTCGACTACTGTTGTTCTCTCATCTCTGCCCCAGGGGTCATGACTAGGGGGAAATTGCTCGAGTTTACGCTGCATTAGATTGATCCCAGTATATTAAATGGACAATTTGTAGCCGTATATTCTCGGATTTGTTTTCCTTACATATTTCTGTGTAAGAGTTCGGATTCCACTATGATCTGTCATTGTCACAATGATCACCCCATGATCTAAACATCTATGCTTCAGCATAAATCGTGCCATTTATGACTCAGTGGTTCTTTAAAAATGAACTCATCCTATTTTCACTTTTCCATAGTTACAAAGCTTTTACCAAAATATGCTTTGTGGCAAGTTTATACGAAATTAACCCAGTGCTAGTGGTTGAAGAAGTCGTTAAGCCCACGACGACGGACGGACACAGACTGCAACTGCATCTGTAGGTTTATTTAGAAATGATTTTTGATTTTCCATACATGAAAAATGGGTTATAATGCAAAGTTTAACTTGGCGTATTTTGGCTATGGAAAATGCACTACAGATTCAAGAAAGCTTAAACTGTTTACACCCATCTGTTACAATGATGATATTTTAAAAGTCACTACTTTTAATATAGAAGTTGATATGTTTAATTTCTTTGATGAGCACTATGGGAAATATCCGAGAGATTGCTCAAAATTTGTCCCAGCGGTGTCCAGCACCTCGGGTCGTTTATTTGGGTTTTGCACGTTCATTTTGGAGAACATGTCAGCCATCTCTCCCTGTCTGTAGTCTCCACCATGTGGTTCACTTGGTCTAATTTGATTTTTATCTTGTGCATATTTTTGGAATTGCTCGTCGTAAGACCAGGGTTTTTGAGGTTTGTCGAGGCCCTCCGGAGGGGCACTATGCCTGTAATTTCCAGGCCCTGATTGGTAGTAGCTACCCGGGTCTCTGCGTATCACATGATCATAGTCATCGTAGTCACCCCTGGGAACAAGGTCAGGGGGAGCATTGGGGTTGTAGTCTCTATCATATTGATTTGATTCTCGCTCATAAAATTCTTTTCTACTAATTGCATTATCATACGGGTCTTCCTCGGCGTAGCGCTCTTGCTTAGGACTACGCGGAGACCTATTTTCCTCTTGTTTCTTTTGTAAAGCTGCCATAAATCCTGTTGGAAGAACTTTGACCCCTGCCACCAGATGAGGAGGAACTCGGGCGACAGGTTTGGATTTTTGATTTTCCATTTCCTGCCTACTCTCTAAGCTAGACGCAGAGTATTCCGGTCCTTTGAACGATGGCGGGCGGTCACGTGTTGGCGAAGGAAAATGTGGCTCATCAGAAGTTGTCGGAGTACGAGGAAGACCTCGTTTAATTGGCGGCTCGTTTCCTAAATAACGATCCTCCATTGGTGATCTAGGACCAGGCGACAGTGCACGTGATGGCTTTGGTGCTGTAGCCGGAGGAACACGCCCGGGTGACATAACGCGTGGAATCCTGTAATCTTCCTGTCTTGTTTCAATACGTCCGCGTCTTTCACCAGAGTCGTAGGCATCCCTGGAATAACGTTCTCCTCTGGGAAAGTCTCCAGATCCCTGACGTTCATGGTGATATTCTGACGACAGTTGTCGTTCGTGTCTAAATTCAGATGACGGATTTCGTTCATGTCTGAAATCGGAAGAGATTTTTCGTTCATGTTGGAGTTCACTAGATGGTTGGCGTTCATGTCTGTACTCCATGGAAGCTTGTCTTTCATAACGATAGTCCGATGGCGGTCGGTCATGTCGTATTTCGTTAGAAGACTGTCGTACATGGTGGAATTCGTTTGACGGTGGTCGCTGATAATCATTGGAATGTTCTCTCTCGTGTCTGTATCGCATATTTTCCTCATAACTTTGTGGAGGAAACCTGTTATCGAATCTTCCAGATGATGATAAGTTTTGTGAATATTCCTCTCGAGGTCCCGGTGGACCGTAAGGATCTCTCGTGTATCTATCTGGTCCCTCTAATTCAGATCTATAGTCCCTCCACTCTCCGGGTCGAGGACCACGAAGATGTTCGTCTGTTAAATGCATTGGCCGCTGGTCTTCTGTTGGTTGTAAAAGATCAGGTCGCCGTAATGGAGGTTCTCTTTCAAAGTTTGGATCAGAAGGCGGCCTCGCGAACTCCTGGCGTCCTGAATCCATCCTCTGAGATTGCAACATAGCTATCAACGAGACAATATGTAGTGCTTGATTTTCGTTATCACACACAAACCCATGACACTCTAAAGCCCGCACACCAGTATTTTTTCTCATAACAAGCGCCAATAGGGGAGGGTGGTCCACCTTAGCTAAATTGCTGTGTTTTTTATCTAATGGTGTAAACAGTTTTTCCGAGCCTGTGTTGGGAGCACGATTGATATCTATAGGAACAAATCCACCCTGAATTTTTTTATCATGAGTTTTCACGGTCGTGAATCGAACAGCTTCGAAGAAAGAAATTGACTGCATGTCATAATAGAGCTCATTCCCTGGGTGAGATCCCGCAACAATGACGGCCACGCCTCTTTCTGAAATATGGAGAGCTACTTCACGCAAGTCTTTAGACTTGCTCTTCTTTCCTGAATGTTTTTTAAACTCAAAATAACGATCACGTAAAGGTTTCTGAATGGTCCCTAAACCAGATGATGTAGCTTTGGCGAGAACTTCACTTCCCAAATACTGAAGCACAAATTCTCCATGTGGCTCCATGATTAAATATGATGTATAGTCCCAAAGACGAGGCAAGGGTTCAAATGTCACATCTGCTTCTGTAAAAGAACAAGAACAAGATATAGTTCCTTGTGTCACAGCTATAGAGATAATTATCTATATAAACTTATCCGTGCAATGATTTATTATCATCCAAATGATATTTGTTTATTTTTTTAAACAAACAAATGTTTGTTGCTTTTTTTCTGAAGACATTTCTCAAGACGTATCATGATTGTTACCGATATGAGTCAAGTCATTCTTGTAGTCATTGGTAGGATGAGTTTAACCTTATGATTAATGACGCATTTAACCAGTTCATTTTCACGTGCTTTATTTCAATTCAAAGAAAAATGCATTCAAAGAGAGAAAAAGCAGGGGAAAAGAGACATTTTTTGTGACTTTGATGTAATAAGAAACTGAATTCACAAACACGAAAACAGCTGTAAAGGTAGTTATAAATACCAATGATAAGGAGCCTTAGGCAATGCTGCAGGGTCGTTGATATTTAATATAGAGTAGAAACCTGTCTTTATAATACCTGAACAAAATTGACAGTGTATCCCTAAAAATACATTATGTCATTGAAGTCTCACTTGGTTCGTTTTTGGTAAGTCTTAAGTAAGAAAGTTCTTTGTGCTAAATATTTACCTCATTTGTTAGCATGTAAATCAGTGGCTTAAATATATCCTATCGTTATTTTCATTTTAAAGTGTTAATTAAAATGTTAACCTGTCCCATTGTACTTACATACAAAATATGCTCAGAAGTAGTATATTAATATCTACGTACCAGGCATTCTAAACTCTGGAACCATGCTTATCACAGAAAACTGATCATAAACACTTAGATTCCAAGGGCCTATGTGCTCTACCTCCATCATTAAACACCTCTTATGGTTGTAATGGTCAGTAAATGAATCTCACCCGACGGTCACCACACAGATCTCAGGGATGGGACACGGACCATATACACGTAAACAAACTGACCATTAACTTACCGAACAACATCAATTGGGAACATTGACTTGTTATGATGGTACCCCCGGGGCTACAGAATGCTTTCCGTTATCCATGTTAATTAACACTGCACAATATTAAGAAACCATTATATACAAGGAGGGAAGGGAAACCAATGAGAAGCTGAAAGCTCTAAGAACTTCGCTTTATATGGCAAAAAGGTCTAATGAACGTACAGTTCTTTGGAGGGACATATTTTAAGTGTAAAAATCAAGATTTCAGCTGTTACATGTACATATATCATTTATGTCAGGTTTTATGAATAGCTATCCATTTAAAATTCATATCATTGCCGATATTAGAAACTTCATTATAGGTGAACGTATAGGTATAATTTGTTATGATATGTACGTTTGTGACCTTGAACAATAGAAATATAATAGCCTACGTAGAGAGGTCCAAAACAACGTTTCATGATCCTCCCTTTTAATTATTACAATCTTAATGTATGCAAACTCAATTATATCCCCTCCCTAAATTGAAGGTGACTTACAAATGGGGGATTCTACAGATAAGAACAAGAAATTTTCACATTAAGACCCACTATCCTGAAGTACACTAAATCTTTTAATGTTAAATTTTATCTCCACTCCAAACTGAAAACTCCAGCAATTTTGTGTTTTGTTAATGCAGTTTGACCTGAAACATCAGGTTTATGACTTTCTACAGGTGAAAATTTTTATCAATGTGAGAAAGCATTGAAGGTGTGCAATAAAACAAGGCCTGTCATTTCTAACAAGCAAAAAAAAAAAAAAAAAATCTCACGACTAGGAAATTGGCACTCTCAGGAATTCCTTTAAAATAAATGAAACCAGACTCAATAATCAATAAAACCTTTTTTTTCGTTGGTTATATGCCTTATTATAGTCATAATTATGTGTAATGTATACTTCGTTATGCTATACTTAGAAAAGTTCTTTTCATGATAATTTACCCACACTTCTTTTGTGCATATTGAATCATGACATGCAAAATTTATCTTCGAAGTTGATACGGAGATTTTGCTGAGCCTTCTCATTCAAATTTACCGAAGCGTCCAATATCTTCATTTGTTAAATCCCGTGACTTTATCCTTCTGTAAATCCTAAACCCGGAAGAAACATAAGATCCAAAAAGGGAGATAACAAATATATCAGAAACGATCAATTCCGAGAGCCAAATATTTAAGTAGAACTTAAGGAATAAAACAAGGTTAAATTGTTGTTTCAAAGAAAAATATATATGTAGTCCTGTAGATTTCAGATCCAATAACATCAATATCGTTACATCTATGCAGAATTATTAATGTTGCAACTAGAATATTGACTTTGGATTCCAAAGCTAACAGATTATAACACCTGGCTCTACAGGTATGAAGCATGGGAAAGAAATGACCACGCCTCATGTCATCGCCAGGAATCTAGAGAAATCGCTGTGTGCAGTTTCTCAGGGGAACTGGAGAATGTATGAAATTTATAACTAAACACTTCTGGTAACAAACTTCATAAAACAAGATGTGAGGGGTGAAGGGTTTTCCAATATTTTATGCTATTTTCCTGCCTTAAATACTAGATGTAAATTATTTAATGTGACCTTAGAATTATGCAAATTTCAGTAAAGGGGGAAATGTCAACTTTTTTAAGTGGAGCATCTACAACCATGATTATTTAAGGAGGCAAAACGAGAAACATTAATTACCTTAACAAACTTACCTGTTCATAAATTCAAAGTTTGTACATGTCCGACCACAAAATACAAGGTTTTTACAAGGTAAGAACAAGCTACCGACACTACAATCAGCCAGATTTATACTTTTGTTATCATGAACTGACACACCAAGAGGATACCTGCATGAGGGCCCAGTAAACATTCTCATTAAAAGTTAAATATGGTCGAATTTAAAAGCAATATATCTGTAGGGATTTACAACAATAAAGAAGCAGTGATAAAAGACGACATTCCAGAAGCTTGTTCTGTCCCTAGCAGTGAAGAAGTACTGTCTCTAGGTTCTACTGCAAACTTTGGAAATGCTTTAAAAATATATGTCTTGTGCTTACACGTAAAATGCTTTAATTTGCTTAACTGTACTAAAACATGACATGGTAGTGGACATATCCTATTGATTATTGGGTATAAAAAAATCCATAAATGTACTGAATTCAAAACACAGACTACGCAATTACTTAAGAAAAATTGAACTCCTTACCTGCATGACTAGGTGATTACTAAATAGCACGTTACTTTCCAAGCGTTAAGCTCATTCAATCTTAACGAATTCTGGACTGGTTACTGAAGACAAAAACAGGAGAATGGGACTCTGCTTCAAAATAATGTAAATATGGCGTGTGACAAAAAATAGGAATGCGAAGAACCACACAAGTTACTTACCAGCAGACGTTTAAATTTTGTAATGAATATTTATGGTTTGTTGACGAATATATATCGCCTCACTAGATATGGAAAACGGTTTGATAAACTGCGTTTGCAGGCAACTTACCTTGATAGATACCTGGCGATTGGGTGTGTGCAGTTCTTTTTAATCCACATTTATTGATCAACGAAAAAAAATTACATATGTGCAGCGAATCTTCATTCAATAATATAAACAACAATGGCAAAAAATGGCGTCTTGAGGATGCAGGTAGACAGACTACCTGAGTTTTAAATACCACATTTCACCTGCGGAGTAGTAGTCCATTTGATTAACATATTAAAAGATTGAGCGCAAACGCCCTGGAAAATAATTTTAAAACCCCCAATTGACTAAAACATTCCCTTCCTTAAAAAGTCTGTCTTATTTCCAACCTTTCGAAACTAAATACAAGAGGCTCCCCTCAGGGAGATATTTTAAACTAATTTGCAAAAACACAGCTAAGAAATTGATTTGTTTTCGGTTTAATGACCATAAACGGAGAGATAATAAACACGTTTATCGACCTGACAGGCTACAGGTAGACCTGGGACAGAACATTCTCATTATCTACTCGATACCAAAACTGTTCCGAATTTAATTACCAACTTTCAAAAATCTTTAATTAGATTTAAGCTTTAGTTAATAAATTATAAACGATATACTTACATGGACATGCAAGATATAGTAACAGAATTTTGATAATCCTTGGTTTACGAGGATAAAATTATGGATGAAGTAAACCCTCACCATCCCAGATCTTAGCCGGGTATCAATTTATTGGTATAAGGAAGATATTATATAACACGTTTTTCAATAACAGCAATACCCCCGTCTCTAATATGACTACAATTATAAGGCGATAACCTCAATTATTGGAGCATTTATATGCCTGTGTCTCCTGATACCCTTGAAGTTACAGGATATGAAACTAAATCCGCCCTGATTCTTCCATTTCTAGCTATGAAATACGTATTGTGGTATTTTGATAAACGAAAACCATGAATGGCCACCTTTTTTAAGGTAAATGATTCGAACACTTTTTGCAGCATGGAATTTAAAGAAGGGAGTTGCAAAATAATTTAAATAGCAAATGCTCCAGTTGGATAAGAATCCCATCTCAAAACATTCAACTGAAATCTTACATGCACGATAGTGTGAATTGTACAATAAAGGTATCAGAAACAAGTTTCTGAGAAAAAAAGCTATTCACTTTATATCACTGTTTCATCACTTTTAAATTAAGTTGATGATTAGATTACTAGTTTATTATCTATAACAAGATTATATAGTCTAATAATCTTAGCAGACCGCTCATCCAACCCATGAGCTTGTAGTGAACTGAAAAATAAATGTATTTAAAACGCTTCCCAAGGATGCATGTACAAATTACAGATCTCTTTTACGAGTTTCCCCACAATCACCCCTTTGCAACGGATATGAATGTTATTATCTAAAATATAATAAAACTGAAAACTTTGCAAAAGAATTCTTTCAAGAATAATAGTAATAAACCAATAATACATTGAGAGTTTTAGCTTTGATGCTTTGTCTACGGTATATTATTTCTTACTTAAGTCCCATTCATACTCCGAACACGCATACTGTGAATAAGACTTATATATAGGCACACTGCCCCAAGAAACGATCTGTTTAATGCTATTTAGAATAATTAATTAACGAATTGTAGACACTCTTGTTTTATTGGAGAGATGATTCGATCAGTATTTCCAAAAATGAAAGTTTATTTTTAAATGTGCAATTGTTTAAGAGATCTGGTCGTTTTTGAATTTATATATTCAGATTCATTTGTACATACTACATCAAATCATTTTTTGTACATGCATAGCCTAACTAAGCAGATAATCATATGGACCTTTGTATTTTTTAACAGTATTTTGAGTAATTAACTGTTATAAATGAGGGGACTTTCTTCTACGTTTTAAGAACCTGTGTTCAATCCTTTGGTTTTAATATCTTAACAATAGAATATGTTCAAACCATATATAGGCGGTGCCTGCAATCCTTTTAAGTTTCTTTCATAATAAAATATTGTGGAAAAAAAAGAACACGCAGACGTTGGTGAAACAACATGACAGTATATATTGATATTAATCTGTAGAATATAAAAAAGCTTCTTTTCAAACATGTGTTTGTTTTTTGTTTTGTTTTGTCTTTTTTTTTTCTTTTTCTTCAATTTTGACGAACAATTAATGCTCCCACACTAGCAATCTGGGAAATTAAATAATCTGGACAAAGACATTAAAGCCACATGTGGATGCTTTCAGAATAATATTTGTGCAGATCTCAAGTCCCTTCCCCATTTTTTAACATTAAAAGACATACGGTAAAACCTATTCCCTGTCGTAAACCAGATGAGACTATTGGTATTTTGGAATTCGAGGATGTTTTTTAGTAATTGTGAAAAACGAAAAAGTTACAATCTTCCTTGAATTAGAATTATCATATTAGATAAGTACTTTTGTAAAACTAAACTAAAAATCATCATATTAAAATTGATCATTGAATTTGAATAATTTTAATTGTATGTAAACTCCCATAGATGATTGCTGAATGCAATTACTTTTCAATCATTATAGTCAATGACAGTTGCTCTTTAGGCATTTTTTTTTATTTATCCATTTTACTGTACCAATTTTTAAAGCATGGGAATTTTAAAAGTTGATTCTACGTGATAAGGTAAATTTGAATACAAAATATGACAAATGTTCCTTTTATTTCTCAAAAACATATTTGCAAGTAAAACGTTTGCTTCTGACTCCTGGCCCTTGAGTCGAAGTTTGAGCATTACACAAGAAAGCTTCCATAAATTTGTCTATTACGAGCTCATTATTATTAATAATGATCACGACATTGTTATATCATTCTCCAACTATCTCCTTTTTGAAATGAGATGTCCTTGGAATTCTTTTATTTCTTCCGAGATAAATTACAATATATCGAAGCATGTGTATGAATCTTTTAATTTTTGGTTTTAAGGTGAGTTATTAAAATCTTTGATATAATAAAGGTGTAATCAGTTTACTGCATAATAACTACATGTAAACACAACTCTAGGTACCTCTTTGACGCGGCGTATCGTATCTCGTCAATGGCTCCAAAAATGGAATCCTAAATTGCCTTCCGTTTTCACCATAATCACTTCTGGCAGTTATACGGGCTTTCCGTCTTTGCCGCTTTCCATCCTTTTTCTTTCTGTTTTTGAACCAGGACATATTCATTGTGTTCTAGAATAAAGTATCTGTGTACACATATGACGATTTCCCGTTCATCATTACAGCTATTATGTTACACCATATTGTGTGATGACCACATGTTACTCCTTTTGGGAGATATTATGCCCCAACCTAAAGATCGAAGCTGGAGGTTTTTTGCAATTGATTTTGTTGATAATCAGCGTTGCATATCTGGACAAGAGAATGTATAATTGATGAAATATTTCCCCAGCGTTTCGCTTTTCTTACATCTGTATATGGTCTTTGTATAACTTTCGTCCGACCTTTGATAATTATTGCACAAATTGGTCTAATGTCCCTTAAGAAACCTTTTTGTTGCACAAATTAGAGTTTTTCCGGAATGATTTTATGTTTGTTCATTTTGTTAACGATCCTACCGATTCTTCTATTTTTATTTTGTCTCGGTAGCTTTAATTTACACAGCAGTGATATTCTAGGATCCAGTCAGTTAAAGCGATTGATCCAGCTAAAAAGATTACTATGTTCATCATAGTAACAAGTACTAGTATCCAAACATAAGCAGAAAGCAATTCGTAGTTTTCAAAACTTAATAAGGAACTATAAACTAAAGGGTGTTAAGAAAATTCATTCCACATTTTCTTTCATTTTCAAAAGAAATACAATAAGAAGATATTTAAAAATTGTGATATTTTATGTTCATAGAGTCCATTCTTGCTACTGATCAGGTATTTACTGTACTTTGTTGAAACGAAAAGGAGAGGGCAGGTATTGAAACAGATGTCTGTGCAGAAAAATAAGAAATGCAGCATATTTGTAAGATATCTTAAGCACACAGGTCGATATATCCTTTCAAATACCTATGTGAAATTTATCACGTCAGTATACATGTAGAATTCCAATATGATACACCTATTCTTTTAAAAAAAAATGACTGATCTTTCTTTTACCTAAGCTCATCAGTTTTGTATGATTCGAGATAAGCTGTGAAGAAACAAAAGTAAATAATCATTTTTTCAAACAAAATGACCATTAGTCTTGCCATTTGGGTGTTTATACACGTATACACTTTCATACGGAAAACAAGATGTGTTTGTGAAACACTGATGCCCCCGTATCACCTATGGCAACTTATAGCGAAGGTTAAACTTTCTCAAATGCAAATCAATTATGTTGGTAGAATTGTAAAAGTAGGTCAACGCCTAGGTCAAGGTCAAAGGGTCCAAGTTGTTGGTATCCAAAGGAAGGTCTTGTCACAAGGATTACACATGTGAAATATGAAAGTCCTAGCACTAACTGTTCAAAATTTATGACCAAGGTTAAAGTTGGGTAAAAATTTGCAAAACTGGGTCAAACTCCATGGTCAAAAGGTCAAATATGATGGTACCCAAAGAAAGGACTTGTCACAAGGAATACAAATGTGAATATGAAAGCCATAGCTCCAACCAATCAAAAGTTATGAGTAAGGTTAAAGTTTTTGCGGACAGACAGATAGACAGACTGACGGACAGGGCAAAAACTAAATGGCCCCGAATCTTCGATTACGGGGGCATAAAAAATCCTATAGCTTCCTGTTAGAAAACAATTGCTATAAAACGGAAGCGCAATCTTGTGATTTTTTCAGACTGGAAAATTAATTTCTTCAGTTAAACACTACTTTGAAATTTTCAAAAATCTTTTATTATGGAACAAACTTTCAAAACACCCTTAATATTTGACAGCTTCATTTTATAGTTGTGCATCAATGATGAACTTTTCATTACATAGTATAAGGTGTTGACTTGAACAAGCTTGTTTTCTTTGTGCATCAAATCACTACATATTTATCAATTTATGAAATAAGGGTTGTCATTTTGTACATAAGAAGTTACTTTTCCACTTGACCTTAGGAAAGACCCTGATCCAAGCATTAATTAACAGTTATATTTAGGATGTTTCCGTTACGTCTCCCCAAGGAGACATGTTGGTATCGGTATTACTGACCATTTGTCTGCCTGTCTGTCCACAAGGTTGTTACAAAGTTTTGCCTGAGAAATATGTCCAACTTTGGATTGAAATGGATTCAAACTTTCAGTGGTTCGCTTCGTGATCGAGAGACCCGGGTTCGATACTCGTTCGCCGCGCCGCGTCAAACCCAAGACGTAAACG